TTCGTTTCTGTGAATGATCTTCAACTGCAGGAAACTACTTGCAGTAACCAGGAAGTAGAAGACGAAGATGGCTGGTCAATTTTTTATTCAAGTTCTACGAATATGGCCGTGCAGGTTCTTTTTTCGTCAGTTTCCTCGTTTCTTTGTCTGCGATGAACACATTATTCCCATCTAACCGAGTTCTGTGCATAGAATGGGCTAGTTTCAACTTTCATCTTATTCATTCAGTGTAGTTACTACTTTGAAAAACTAATTTGTGTTTCTCCTTCAGGTTGATGACAAGAAAACTGTTGGGCCAGAGGCCTTTGCACGAATAGCTCCTGTTTGTGCTGCTGTTGCAGATATAATAACTGTCCACAATCTTTATGATGCCCTCACAAGTTCTTCAGACCATCGACTTCATTTCCTTGTATATGACAAATACATACGAAGTCTCGACAAGTATTTTTTTGGTCCTTTTAGTTATCATTGTGTGACTTACCACTGCGTTTTGTGGAACTGTTACTCAAAGTACATGAGAATTTAATCCTAGGTGCTTGTCCTGTGGTTGAATGTTAAGTTAAATTTGGAGCATGCATAGCCCATATGTGTTAGCCATAGTTCCAAACATACTTTTATGAAAGAAAAATGCTATACACGTAAACGGTTTATAAATTATGTTTGCACAAACTGATGCATATCATATGTGAAATAATCGGGGTCTGGCCATGCATGCACTTCACCTTGTGTGATGAGATGAAATTGGTGTATACCTCGTTAGTATGAAATGCATTATCCATTTCTCCTCTATGATTTCTTTTTAATTAAAAGGCGAAAATTTGTTTCGAATTTGGCATAGTGAAGTGGACAAGAATTCCACCATGATAGAAGAGAAAATATCCTATTTCTCGTCTATGGTAATTCTAGCTTTGGTTAGATTTTAAGGTTAGTAGAAGGCACACACATGCACATGCACATGTGCGCTCATCAGTTCCAGTGGCTATGGCATGTGGATTTTCTACTTTCTATCAAATATAACTAAAAAAGTGTTTGCCTTGTTATTGTGTCTCGTCGTTTAACCTTATTGATGTCAAATTTTTGTCTATTAATTAATGGCTCTTTTGCAGGGTCATTAAGGCTTCCAAAAATGCATTGGCCTCGTCCATTGAAAACCTTCAGCTTACAGAGGGAGAAATTGTCCTTGATGTTGATGGTACAGTTCCCACTCAACCAGTGCTGCAACATATTGGCATGTCTCTGTGGCCTGGTAAGTGATTGTATTCGGGAAGGTGGATCTTGCGTTAAGTAAATTAGTTTTTAAAACCATAAACTTTAGAGCTAATACAATTTGGAGACATGACTAAACCTTGGGAATGGTCTACTTCTTATATTATAAAACAAGAACCCCTCATGGCCTCCCTATAAATATTATTGGAGGGAGGATTTTCTCCGAGTGATTTTGCTACAGCCCGTCATGGCCAAGTGACAGTTAAATTTTTTTTCATCTTTATCTTTCTACGTTTTTGGAAATCCTATAATAACCAGCTCTGCATCGTCCTAATGAGGACACCTTCCCCAATGAGCGGTAGGTCTCGGGTTCGAGACTTGGGAGCAGCCTCTCCATAAATGGGGGTAAGGCTAGCCGACATTCACCTCTCCCAGACCCTGCGTAAAGCGGGAGCCTTGTGCACTGGGTACGACCTTTATGCTTTATGTTCTTTTCCTGAAAACTTTGCTAAACAGGTTTGACTAATTCGGGTCATGGTCTCAATTATAGCAGGCTCCATTTTATGTATTAAAATTTTGTATTATATAGAAAACTGGAAAGTGTTGCTCATCCAATCTTTGTTTATCTAGGACGGTTGACACTTACCAATTCTGCACTGTACTTTGAATCATTGGGAGTTGGTTTGTATGAAAAAGCTGTTAGGTACGATCTGGCAACAGATATGAAGCAGGTCATAAAACCTGAATTGACTGGACCATTGGGTGCTCGGCTTTTCGACAAAGCCATTATGTACAAGTCAACATCTGTGTATGTGATATATCTCGTCTAGCCTATATGGAACTTGTTTTACTCTATGATCGTGAGCTGACTCAATTTTTTTATTTGATTCTTTTATTCTTTATTTGCAGAGCAGAGCCAGTTTATTTGGAGTTTCCTGAGTTCAAAGGCAATTCTCGCCGGGACTATTGGTTGGATATTTGTCTTGAGATCTTGCGTGCACACAGGTTCATTCGGAAAAATAATCTTAAAGAGACTAAGAAATCAGAAGTACTGGCAAGAGCTATTCTAGGCATCATCCGATATCGTGCAGTTAGAGAAGCCTTCCATTTCTTTTCATCCCATTATAAAACCTTACTTGCTTTTAACCTTGCTGAAAGTCTTCCAGGGGGGGACTTGATTTTGAAAACTTTGTCAAGTCGCTTGCTGCTTTTGAATTCCGGTGCTGCCCAACATGATCTTTCTGGGAGTCCACATGCAAAATGGCAGCCAAAACTTTCTCCAGTTTCACTTATAGCACTTACTCAACTTGGATTTATGTTACAAAAAGATGTACATCTTGATGCAGAAGCAATAATAGTTGGAGATGTTTGTGTTGGTGAGATTAATCCCTTGGAAATGGCAGTGAAACAGTCAGTACTGGACACAGGGAGGGCTGAAGCTGCACAGGCAACTGTGGAACAAGTGAAGGTGGATGGAATTGATACAAATGTTGCAATAATGAAGGTTAATATTCAATTTCACTTGTTAAATTGGGGTTTCCATGCCAATATAACTTTTACCATTCTTACAAATTAGTAATAGTAAACAAAAGTGGATAGAAACATCTGAAAATTCCCTTGAAGAATGAATCTATTTGTAGTGCTTTTAGTTAGTGACATAGATTGCATTTGTTTTGTTCTTCATTGCTGAGGAAAAAGAAAGCAGTTTCTCCCTTCCCTAGCTGCTAAATATGATCTTCAATAGGCAACAAGTGCATTGTCACTCCTGCTCAACCAAAATATAGAAAAATTCGTTGAACCAGTGCAGTAATTCCAGAAACATGTATTGATGTGAGAACAAGTTACTGTGATTAAATTTTGTAGAATCTTTTTGTTACACTTGGGTGTTTTGTTTCTGCTTTAATGGAACCCCATATTAGTATGTGGATAGAGACAGAAGTACTGAAAACAGATTGTATGCAGCCATTAAGTTTTTTGGTTCCACCCTGTACCTTTTATATCTTTGGAAGTGCATCCCTTCACAACTTTTACTCTGGAGGTATAATGTTTGTACTGCTTATGTAAAGATTATTTTGTACTTGTAGGAACTATTGTTTCCAGTGATTGAATTAGCTAGCCGGGTTCAAGTTTTGGCATCATGGGACTACCCTTGTAAATCAACAGCGTTTCTGATGTTGAGCAGCTACTTTATATTAAGGTAACTTGTCTGTGACTGGAGATTTCTGTGCCTGGTTCCAAGAGTATGATTTATTTATTTATTGCCCCTTACGGGGAAAAATTACCTCTCTTTTCGCAGTACAAATGGAGAGCTGGCTGTTAAACCTGGACTGCCAGAGCATGGGGCCTCTTTGTTTTGAGTTTGAGCCCCACATGAACTTTACAGTCTGGGTTTAACCGACTCTGTCAAGTTAGTGCTGGAACTAGATAGGAGTTGGGTTCCCCTATTAGTTCCTTAAGAACAATTCTACTTTATATAGAGGAGTTTATTGCATGGTCCCCTCAATTGGTACTGCAAATAGAGAGGGGTTGGGATTTCCCCTATTAATTGTTGCTTGTGTTGACCTAACTATCCCTCAATTCCCATTTCTTCTTTAGCTTTAGCTTGGATGGCCAGAAGTAATGTAATGTTAATTTTGTTGTACAGGGGTTGGATCAGATATATATTGCCATCAATTTTTGTATTCGTCGCGGTTGTTATGCTCCAGTGCAGGCACTTTAACAAAGGGAAACCTTTAGAACCATTCAGAATAACACCTCCCCATAACCGAAATGCAGTAGAGCAGCTGCTGACATTGCAAGAAGCCATCACTCAAGTTGAAGCATTACTTCGATCTGGGAATATTATTCTCTTGAAGATAAGAGCTCTCATGTTTGCGGTTCTTCCACAGGTATACTTTTGAAGCCATGCCAATTTATTCTTAAGCTCTCATAGGGCGGATTGGCCTGTTTGTATTTCCAACATGGTCGTGTAACATTAGAATTCAAATTTCTATTAGGAATTGGTTTTCTCTGTCCCGTCGATGCATTACATATCATAATTGGTATATCTGCAGGCAACGGACAGGATCGTTCTACTACTGGTTTTCATGGCAGCAGTGTTTGCATGTGTGCCATTGAAATATATAACTCTGCTAGTATTTCTGGAGGCTTTTACAAGGGAAATGCCATATAGAAAGGAAAGCAGCGACAGGTGGTTGAGGCGAATTAGGGAATGGTGGATCAGAATACCAGCAGCTCCGGTTCAACTCATTAAACCCGATGATCGCAAGAAAAAGAAATCACCTAACGATCGCAAGAAAAAGAAATCATAAAACTTTGCGTACGGTACAAACAATGCTATCAGTACTAGGTTGTAAATGGCCAAATGTGGTTCTATTTCCAGTTCAATTCGTACCCTTGTTTATTTTTGTACACAATATCCAGTTAAACTTTACATAGATGGATAGGGTTCTGCAAATTCTATTGTGATAATAAGTACATTAGAAGGGGAAAAGGGGTGCGCACACTATTTTTTCTGTTACAGTGAAAAAAATCAAATATGACATTCTATTCCTATCTCATTAACCCGCATCCAACCATGTAGAATTGTAACAAGAACCAAAAACTACGAAAATAACCATGCTGCTTCAGGTTCATGAGGGTAGTACCTATACCCACATCAGCTCCACCTTCATCGACTTTTGCTTGTATGGAACAGGGGTATCAGCGAGACAATAACTCTACCAACGAGCCCAGGTTTCAAATTTGGCCACTACATTTTAAGTTTCGGCCCCTTTTTTAAATTTTAGGCAAACTTAAAATGGCAAATTGAATTTAGCATTGATGTTTTCGCTGGCTTACAGACAAAACCCCGTACAAAACCTAAAATATGAAAAGCAAGGGGTGTGTTTAAGACATAATGAGTAGAGATTATGCATTTTTTCCATTAAACGTTATCTGGCCAAAACTCCCTGAAAAAGGCACGCTCAAATTCTCTCTCCTGCAAATTTTTCTCTAACTCCTGCATCTTCTTCATCTTCTTGGAGAGTCCCTTGCCTTTTCTTGATTGCCCCTCCTAAACACCAACAGCATAATTAGTAGTGCAAGAGTGTAGCCGGTTATAATGGTCAGCTTAACTTCGCTCTTCCTTCTATGATATATTGTCTAAATCATTGATCCACCACCTTTCTTTTTCAATAATTCTAAAAAGAGTTTCTTATTGATTGCCTCGGAGTTACGTGTTTAGAAGAAGACGAGTTGATGAACAACAATATTTTTAAAAATAAGCTCCATCGTCTAAGTCCTGTGTAACTTCATATTTTTCTAACTATTTTCATCATGGAAAACAGGAAATCAAACAAAAAAGAATTCGGTTTCTGAAATATTGATACACATGCAAATGAACTCACCTGGTCATTTTTTTTATTCAAGGCAGTAGAATCAGGGGGCTTTAGCGCCTTCTTTAACTTTTCTGCTCCCAGGCCCCGTTTATTATTCTTTAAGTAAGTCTGTACAGGCTCTAACCTTCCCTGTTTCATAGAAATAAACTAGTTAGATATCCCGTCTAAAAAACTAGTAGCACTTAGCAGTTAGCACGTACTTACGATAAACTCGCTAAACCCCATTCCATGCATCAATGATTTTCACGTGCACCGAATAAGCCCACCAGGCTTGGATTGAATTGATATTATTTACCTTGCACTTTGTATTAGTGCCTGACAACTATTTCAGCCCATTGATGCGTAGTGGTTACCAAAATGAACTTGTTCTATTACTTTCTTTTTTTTTTTGGTTGAAAACTTGTTCTATTACTTGATTAATGGTAATGCTACCTACTGCATGTAGCAATGGTAGTGGAGGTATCACCAGAACAATAGTGGTAGCGGCTTCAGTGGTGATCCTAATGGTGTTGTTAGGTCATAGTTGTAACAGAAGTGGACCAGAGTTGTGGCTTTGGACATTACAATATCACCCTTCTTATGGAACTATGTATTCCACATGCAAGGAAGATGTATGCTTAACAGAAAACAATCTGATACTCTTGGATCCGTATTACAAACAGTTTTCTATGCATATCTAAAATGTGTCCTTTTCTAAAGTATGCTTGTTGGGGTTCATACCTTGGGTACTAGAATGTGTCCTTTTCTGCAACTGGAGTACAATTATACAAGCATACACAATTGACTGTCTCAATGATTGTTGACCGATCACAAAATAAGCTCATGCATGATTTCAAAACAAAATTAGTTGAAAATCACATGCATAACATAGAATTGAGAAAGCAGTTCAGACAAATAAAGAGGTTACGTGTCAATTTCTATAACTACTCAGAACACTACAACAGTCATGTTCAGGAATCCAGAAAAAAGTAAGTCAACAGAAACCAAAGCTTACACAAACAAGCGAAGGTGAAGGATAGTAATATACTAATAAAGAGGTTACTTGTTGAAGTAAAGTAGGAGTGAAGAAATCAGAAAGATGCTAATATATTAACCTGCTCAGAAATCCCAAGACCAGTTCCTTCTTTCCAACCATGTTTCTTCAAAAGCTGCACAAGATCACCCACAAGACAGTGAATGCATGACCAAAGCAAAAGGAAGAATAACATTGAAAACAAAGAAAAGAACTATAAATAGAAAGACAATGGGGGAATACCTGAAAGCCTATATTGGAGGAATTGATGGCTGTTGATGAACAACTTGAAGACATCATGCCGTTTCCCATACCTTCTTCCTCCTGTACCAAATGCATGAAGCTATTGTTCTGAGGTTAAGAGATAACAAATAATAATATACTACTCTGGCAGCTCTCCAATGGTTTATACAAACTGGGTTATGTTTGCGTCTTATCATTTTCCTCAAAATTCCGATTTTCTCATTCTTTCACTTAGATTTACAAAGAAATTATCACTTACATCATTGGTGCACATTCTGTTGTAACATGCGGTCTCGTTTAGTTTGCTTATGCACGCTTCTCTTACAATGGATTCAAAAACTAGTCTTCTAAGTTTCTTTAGCTCTTGCCCGCTTTTATGATTTTCTTGTGCATAATTTGTTTAGGAGCCTAAACACAAGCTCACAGGTCCTAAAAAGGAGAAGAGCTGAAGTTTAAAAACAAACCAGAAAGCAGCAACAGCAAATGAAGCTAACCTTTTCATACTTTCGTCGACTAGAATCTGAAATTTCAGAAACCGGCAAGAATTTATTTGTTGAAGTATCTGCTCCTATGCCGCGTTTGTTGTCCTTCAAGTAAGCTTGAATAGGCTCTAGCCTACGCTGTTGACATGATAAACATACTCACTCAGCTATGAACAAAACATAAACACATAAACACACAAACATGTAAATATATATATATATATAGCTATATGTTCCGTGTGGTTTTAAATTAGATTTAACATATAACTTTTCTTGGCTGGAGCCTGGAGCCTGGAGGTATTAAGAAAAATTAATGGTTGATTGTACATAACGACGGATTTGATAAAATAAAGAGCTGCATCTGCTTCTTCAAAAGCTGCCTCCCAATTCTAATAACATATAATCACTTTAATATAAAAATTAATTCGAATCCTAATTTCGTACAAACGCTACAGCGGCTACAAGTCAGTGGATACCTACCTGAAACCCAATATTGGAGGAGTCTATAGCTGGAGCTGAAGAAGATGACCGCACCGTTACCGCCTCCTCCTCTCCCATGAACACACAGATGATTGATGGCTTTCGGCCAGTTTTTCCTTTCTTTCTTTTCCCTTTAACCAAAAGAAGGAAAAAATACATAAAAGTCGGGCTAAATTTGCCCAGCCCTAAATTATTGGAGCGCTGGTGGACCAACCCAGTTATTTTCTCATCCCATTATAATTTGAGTGTTTTGTTCCCCTTTAACGTTAAATTTCACCTGCTATAAAAATTTAAAATTATAATGTTATTTTCCCACTACTATTAATTTCTAAGATAACTTCTAATATGTTATTTTTTCACTCACTATTATTTCAAAAAATTAAAATGTTATTTTTCTAACAACGAACTCTTCTTTAACAATAATTCATCAGCAACTAAATGACTCTCCACATACTCTGTTGTTGTGTGATTATGCACTCTAATAACAATCATCATTAGCTTCTTACACTTTGGTTGGAAATGGCATCCATATTTTTCATTCTATAAATCCTTCTATCTTCATGTTTTATTTCTTTTTGGCCAATACAGTTTACATAGTGTTCATTATTTTCACAGATTTTAGTTCTGGGTGATTTGAGTCCAACGTTGAGTTCATGAATCTTCAATCCACATATTTACATTTCCAAAACTCAAATATAAGTTTTGACTTCAATCATTTCTCTTCCAATACAAAGACTTAAATCTTAAAACGCTAAATGTAAGATGACCATCATCATGTTAATTTTTTTCATCGCTATAAAGTATGTGAATATCAGTCATTTTTTTCCAAATTATTTACAATACGTTGGGAGTGAAAACATTCACATTGGCAAACGGCCTCGTGCTTATGAGTTGGAGTGCATTCATAAAAAAATATAAATTTTTAAAAACTTTAGAACATTTCAAATGGGGATGTCAAATTAAAATGAAATTTGACATTTTTATAATTGATGTGCCAAATAATATTTTGTAAAATCCACTGTTCCAACTGAGATGTCAAATTTGTTAATAATAAAATAATTAACAAGTGAAGAAACAAAAAAGAAATATGTGAGCCCAATATTAAAATAAAATAAATTGGCGTTGCCTTCAAATTTAACAACAAAGTAGAAATAACAAAACATGTAAGATTTTAGTATCTTCTAACAAAGTGAAGAAATTTCTTTTTAATGTTCCTCCACAGTCTCTCATCCTTTGGAATCAGACGATCGACTTTTTTTTTTTCTTTCCATCAAAACAGACTACATGGAATTTTGACATATAGTTTAAGGAGGTGTATTCAATTGAAAATTTAAGATATTTTAATGGATATATAAATCCATGGATTTTTATAGAGTTTAATTGATTTGTAGATATTCTATATAAAAATTTTATTCAATTCCCTCAAAATCTCATGGGAAGAGGTGAGATTTGTAGATGCTTAAAATATATTACAAAATCTCTCAAATTCCCTTTAATTCCTCTATTTTTCCAAATTATTTAAATTCAAATTATAATTGAATACACTTGGAATGTTATAAACTTCTTTAAAATTCTAATTGAATACACATGTATTTCTAAGGATTTTAATAAACTATATTAAAATCCTGATTGAATACACATTGAATTTCAGATAATCACTTAAAATCCTGATTGAATACCCCTAGATTCATTAAAAGAATTTGTTGATGCACAAAACCGGAGGTCTTGGAACAACGTAAATCCAACCGTGAATCTGCAAGTAGTGTAAATAACACAAGATTTATCGTGGTTCACCCCAATGTTTGGGCTACGTCCACACTGATATTGTATTTCTCTGAGAGGATTGTGAGGGAGAGAACCTCTGTAATGTGAGAAGGGATGTGAGAGGGTGAGAGGGCTTCAGGCCTAAGAGTTGGTCTTCTCTAATTGTGAGGGTGAGGAGTCCTTTTATAGAATAAGGGCTCCTCACTTATTACATATTTGCCCATTCCATAATTACATTTAAGTCCCCCGAGTATTTGTACGAGATCTGAATACGGATGCCCTAAGTATGGTATAAACAAAATTAAAATCCCTCAAAATCCAAATTGAATAAACCCCCTAAAAATGCTCTTACATGTATATAAGTGAATTAATATCGAAATCTTTTATGAGTGTATTTGTGCTAATAGAAAAACCCATGTATATGTATTACAGGGGTTTTCGCTTTTAGCGAAATAATAGAATAAATTTTTTTTGGCTAAATATCCAAAATGGTCTATGAGATTTGCATAATCAATAGAAATGGTCATTGAGATTCAAAATCAATATAAATGGTCTCTGAGATTGTTCACCATCCATGATTTTAGTCTTTCCGTTAAAAACCCTTCGAGCAATTTTCCAAGCTTTGTAACTCAATCGATTCTTACCAAATTCGATCCATAATATATTAAAATGAAGATAGGAAAATGTAGAACAAGATTATACCTATTTGGAAGCCCAATGTTTGCCGGAGATGCCCGAAAAGTAGCCTGAAAGGTGACTGGTTCACAAGAAAACTGGAAAACTCAACGGCTAACTCACCTTGTTTTGGTTGGAAAACGACTCGAAAGTGGTTAACTATTTTCGAGTTAGCTACTTTTGAGCCGTTTTCCGGCCAAAACACAACCATTTAGCCGTCGAGAAAGGTACCATTATATTCGTCTCATTGAGAAATATGATTTTCGTTTTTGAATCACTCGATTTCGTTGAGTATTGAAGAAGTTATGAATGTTTAAAGTTTACCTAGTTTCAGGCAAACCAGTTACCTTTCAGGCTATTTTCCGGCCATCTTCGGCAACCATTAGGCTTCCAAATAGGTATAATCTTGTTCTACACTTTTCTATATTCATTTTGATATATTATGGGTCGAATTTGGTTAATAATCGATTGAGTTACAAAACTTTGAAAATTGGCCAAAGAGTTTTTAATAGAAGAACCAAAATTATGGATTGTGGACAATCTCAGGGACAATTTCTATTGATTTTGAATATCATGGACAATTTCTATTGATTATGCAAATCTTATGACCATTTTGGATATTTATCATTTTTTTATTTTTAAAAAAGAAAACTAATAAAAATGGTTTGAAAACTTTGAATTTTAACGAAAATGACAAAATAAAAGGTAAAATGAATAGTATCAAAATTGATTTTTTAGTGTAAAAATATGATTTTTTATTAAAATAAACAGTAGCAAAATTTTTGTTATTATTATTATTTTTTATTTTATTTTTTATTTTTAAGGACAGGTCCCACCCATCCCATCCGTTTATTTGGTAAATGCGTAATTGGCAACTCACGCAGGCGCAGCTCGTGTAATTTCGTAGGTTTCGTCTCTCGTTTGGGTTTGTTGCTGAAACCCTAAACAGAGAGGAGAAGGAAGAAGAAGAGATGGATTTGGACCAGTGGATCTCAAAGGTGAAGGAAGGACAGCATCTTTTGGAGGACGAGCTTCAACTCCTATGCGAATACGTCCGTATTTCTCTCTCTAGTCTCTATCTCTTTTTTTCCTCTATCTACAATTCTACATTTAGCGTTTTTACGCATATCTGAGTCGGTCGGTCGCTGTTAAATTCAAATTGGTTTTTGTAATCGCCTTGTCTAATCCGTTTGATCTTTCGATCAATTTGGGAATCCGATTTCTATATTGTTTCCTTTTAAAATTCGATCACTGAATGTAACTTGTTCACTCAAATTTTGTTCACAAGCGACCTTTGACTAGCTGGTGAGCTTGAGTAGCTAATAGACGGATGGGCTTCAAGATTCAAATTTCAATACATACCCCCTTTGTATAAAAGTAGAAAAAAAAAACCATCTTTATTTTGTTTTTGGTTCCCCCCTCCCTACTCCCTACCTGCATATGTCTAGGTTTGTCCATGCTTATCAGAGTATGTTACGGTTCAGTTCATTACACAATAGTGATCGTTATTCAACACTCTTAGTCGTGCTCACCATAGTTTACAACAATCTTTTTTTCATTACACGTCCATTACTTGATTGGCAAAGATAACTGCTTTTGGCTACCGAAATCCTGCACCTGAAATACCTAGTTTGGACGGCTAGTGTTACTTTGTGATTTTCTCAGTAAATATAGTAAGTTTTTCAAAATTTTGTGCTGGATTTGATGATATGAATGTCTCATGCATAAACATCTGCAGCGGTTGGAGTTCGTACACTTGTGCCTGTCAATTCTGACTTCCCTCTCATATCATGTGAGTCTCACCATATAACAGTGGGTCCCACACAAATGTCCTGAGAGGGAGGTAACTTATAACGGGATCATACAATAATATTTGCACGCACACATTAAAGCTAGTTATTGAAAATGTTGGGATCAGTTTTATTCTTCAAAGTGCAATGTAGAAACATTCCTGTGGCTGTGTAGGTTGTTGACTTTGGTCTTTTCTAATTGTCTATGTTTTTATTTGGTGATGGTGATCTGCTTATGAATAAATATAAATAGTCCCATGAGTGGTAGTTTCAGGTTTTATTATCTAGAGGAGATTTATAATTTTCATTGTCGTTGTTTGTCATTTTTATATCATAGGTAAAAGAGATTCTTATTGAGGAGTCCAATGTGCAACCTGTAAACAGTCCGGTCACAGTTTGTGGTGATATTCATGGCCAGTTCCACGACCTAATGAAACTTTTCCAGACTGGAGGCCATGTACCAGAGACAAATTACATATTTATGGTATTATTTGTATTTTTTTGTTATTAAATTTGATAAAATCTCTGCACGTCATCTTTAATACATCGTTTAGTTGTCTTCTGGGGGTGCTAATTTATTCCTGGCTTGTTGGCAGGGCGATTTTGTTGATCGAGGTTACAATAGCCTTGAAGTTTTCACTATCCTTTTGCTTCTTAAGGCGAGGTACAAATTTTTTAGACTTTTGTTGGAAGAATGTGTTGTAATAATGAGGTCATTACTTTTCAAATGATTACTTTAAGTCATGCACACTACTTTAGTGTTTTGGTACTTGTGCACCATATCCTTATGCCTTTGATGTGCATTGCAGCCCTATGATATGTCGTCTATGGTTTAGTTATCATTTGGGTCAGTACTAAATGGATAATTTCAGTAATAAGAAAGAGTCTTGGAAGCTATCAGTTATGGCATTTTATGTTATAAATTGGTGAAGAGTATAATATATAACCTATGAAGCATGGATACAGATACAGCGATGTGATATGACACGACATGGAGATTTGAAAAATATCTAAAAATTAAGATACGATATGCTATGGATACGACAAATATATATATACATATATATATATATATATATATATATGTAGCAAGAAAATTATACAAATTAAAACATAATTCATCATTCAAATTCAAGTTCATTTGAGTTGTTGGAGAAAAAAAGTTGGAAATCTAATCCTCTTTATATACTATAGAAGAAGTGTGAGAGTCGTATTCATGGTTTTAATTAGAGGGAAGCTCCTTGTATTCATCAACTTTCAATTATAGATGTCTCCTATTAATTTTCTCCTCCTCATTATCTTTTTTGAAAATGTAAATCTATCCTAAAAGCCGGATACGTGTATCCCAAATGTGGGATACGCGTATCCATCAAGTCAAAGTCGTGTCCATTGACCATGAAACATATCCAACAAGTATCCAAGAGTATCGGGCAAGTATCGTTTCCGATCAAGATCAAATATTGGATGTGGGATAAGCGACCAAACAAAAGTATCCGTGCATCATAGTATATAACTATAGATAGATGCACACATATTTCACATATTTCATAGCTTACAGTTGAGCGCATTACACCAAGGTACCCAACGTTGGTCTGTTTGGTTATGAAAGGCTAAATTGCTGTATGCGTTCTACCTTTTTCTTTCTCTCTTCTCTCTCTCCTCTCTTCTCTCTTCTCTCTCTCTGGTTATCATCATTGCTTTTTTTGGTGGAGGAAGAAGGGTATGGGTCTGGGAAGATGTGCAGTGATGGCTATTTTTTTGGTAATTTTGAGGGAGAGGAATAGAAAGGATGTTTGACAATGTGATGGTCAGGAGGTGGATTAGTTGGGGGAGAGGGTTTGCTTCTAAACATCTGTATGGGATTTGATCTCTTAAGAGTTTGGGGATGGCTTTTCTTTTGCGGTACTTTTTTTTTGTTTTAAATCGGAATGCAGCTGTTTATTGGTGGCTCCTGTTCCTTTGCTTATGTTTTTAGGTTCCTGGTGCATTTTGGAGCTTTCTAGATTTTTGATCCGGTGACATCTTGTCCATTGCTTTTTAGAGTTTTGTTCTCTTAAGAGCCTTGGAATGGATCTCCTTTAATGCTTTTTTGTTCCTATAAAAATTAGGCAGCTTTAATTATTATGTACATCAGGAGACGATGAATTGAATGCTAGATTGCTTTAATTTTTTCCTTCTCTTGTTGACAATCTCAATATTTATGAGATATTTATGTTTTTCTTCTCGTAGCTAATGTTGTCTTCTTTTACTTGTGGCTATAGATATCCAGCTAATATTACCCTTTTACGTGGTAATCATGAAAGCAGGCAACTTACCCAGGTATGATATTATATAGATTGTATAGTGTTTTGGAACAGACAATTATTAACGATACCCTCTAGAGTTTTGTTAGATACTGAAATTGGGAGCAAGGGTTTCAATGTTGTTTTTCTTTGCTTACATGTTGTTCTTTTGAATATTATTGTGTTAAAGCTTTTAGTGGCTGAAATGAAATTACAGTTAGTGTATTCAGAGGTACTTTAGCGTACTCTTGGTGCCTACGATACTCAAATATTGCAATGTAATGGACTTGTTGGTTTTGGCATGTAATGGAGGCCTAGTATAATGAAATTGTGTTACTGGCATTGTTGGTAGGATCAATCTTGTTCAATTATTATTTTTTATCGGTGCTAGGTATATGGCTTTTATGACGAATGCCAGAGGAAGTATGGAAATGCTAATGCCTGGCGGTATTGTACAGATGTTTTCGACTATTTGACGCTATCGGCAATTATAGATGGAACTGTAACCTTCTTTCCCTCTCGTCTATGTATATGTGTGTGTGTGTGTGCGTGTATGCAAATATCTCTTATCTCTATCTCTGTGCGTATGCATATTTGTAACTTTGATTGCGTGCTTTTTGATAGTAAATATGTTTTATGTGGATTGTCATCCCAGGTGCTGTGTGTCCATGGTGGACTTTCTCCTGACATCCGAACAATTGATCAGGTAAACCGTTTTCGATTTGTATTATTTTTGTTCATATATGTAAGCATTTATGTTTTTCATGCATGTTGCAGCAGCTGCCACTCTGCATTAGCCACTTCGAATGGATATCCAATAACAATTTTTTAGATTGTGTAGTTATGTGTGTTAAACGATCGAAAGAAGCAGTGATTCCCTTAGTGTTGGATTCTGGATCACTGGGTTCATGCTTTACCTTGTGAACTACATGTCTATGACCTTGCTTTCAAAGAAGTTTTGTTTATTTTTGCTTTTCCGTTTGCATGAAACATCATCATCACTGTACATACCTTTTCGTTCATCATCACTGTACATACCTTGTCGTTTAACAGATACGGGTCGTTGAGCGAAATTGTGAAATTCCACATGAGGGGCCATTTTGTGATCTCATGTGGAGCGATCCTGAAGATATTGAAACATGGGCAGTAAGTCCACGAGGAGCAGGTTGGCTGTTTGGGTCCAGAGTCACTTCTGAGGTAATAAGTTCTGATTACTAATCAAGTAGGAGAGCAGTAGGATACTCCCTGCTCTCTCTCTCTCTCTCTCTCTCTATTACACACACACACACGGGCGCACACACACATCACACCCATACTAAAGCTTAAAAATCTTGTTTTCTGCAGTTCAACCACATAAATAATCTAGATCTGGTTTGTCGAGCACACCAACTTGTTCAAGAAGGTCTTAAGTACATGTTTCAAGATAAAGGCCTTGTAACTGTGAGAGTTCGAACCTCTTTCATTGATTTTTTTCCTAATATTCTAAAAGTTTGATTGAGTAGTTGGGTTCTTGAATTTTGCAGGTCTGGTCTGCACCAAATTACTGTTATCGCTGTGGGAATGTAGCTTCTATCTTGAGTTTTAACGACACTATGGTAAAGATTACTAGCTTGCCTATTGCCTTTTACTTAATGGAAACTTTTAGACTCACTTTTATGATATGTGTAAATAGGTATCTTTTTGTCACCTTGACTATGTGCATAGCATATTTAATGTTGATTGTTTCTAGTGTCTGAACCACTTGGTTCTGAGAGACTTTCCAACATCCAAGAGATGACTATTGCCATCTTCTAGAATCTCTCAATTTTAGACTCTGAACATATAAACTTTTGAAGTAGCTATACTTGGTTCGGGATCATTAGAAGGAATGAATTAAATCAATGCATAATTTGGAGAGTTTACAAACTCACGGTCAACCATATTAACACGTCCAACTTCTAAAATAAAAAGAAGTTCGTATGTTACTTGCATGAGAATAACTTTAAGCCATGCACCATGCTGCTTTTTGTTTTGGTGATGGAGAGAAGTGAAGCTCAGTTTTTAATATCCAATCATTCAGTTAGAACTTAGGGGCATGTTAATTTTGAGGCCATACTTTTTAGACATTTACTGCTTATTGTGTTAGTTGTGCTATATTGCTCTCTTCATTTGGTCCCAGAGTTTTTGGCTATTTCATTATTTATATTTATATTTATTGGAAAGTGCAATGGATAAGTAGGGACGGGCATTGGGCCAAAAAATTGGTCCATAACTCACTAACTAAAGGACAAATAATGGTCCTTACCCCATTAAACCCATTTACTAACATAATGGGTCTATTTCCATGTCTGGTTGCTGCCATGTACACCTGAAACTAAAGGACAAATAATGGTCCTTACCCCATTAAACCCATTTACTAACATAATGGGTCTATTTCCATGTCTGGTTGTTGTCATGTACACCTGAAAATAGCGCTTTTTTTGTTGTAATTTTTTACATCAAGTAGAATCCATAGCGTTTGTGATGGTTGGTGTTTTGTCGTTTAAAACAGGAGAGAGAGGTGAAGTTTTTCACTGAAACAGAGGAGAACAACCAGATGAGAGGACCGAGGACAGGAGTACCTTATTTCTTATGATCATTTGGAGTGATTACCTGCGTCATTTGTAAAATCATTTTAAGTCTTGGTATAGTTGTTGAGAGTACTGGAACAGAGAAGAACTTGAATATGTCGGTCGGTCAGTCGCTGTTGGGTGGATCTCCTTTCTGCTTGACTGTAGGTTTTCCATCTGGTCTGTCTGGCTGCTACACTATTTTACATTCATGGGTTGTGTATTACTTTTTAGGTTGCTAATTGTTATTCAATTCTTAATCCATGCCCGACGCATTTCGTTATGTTTCATTTCTGCCCTGTTTTGCAATTCATGTCTAGTGTATTATGCAGCAATGCGCGAATTACAACTAGCTTTTTGTTATTTAATATTTACGCCTATGTCCCATTTCAGTTCGCATCTTACATTTATTCTTGACGTGTATTTCTTGTGGAGGTTGAAGTAATCGTAATTAATAATTCTCTAGCAGCTAGATTTTACGAATACATTTTTGTTTTTAGGAATGGATTCATATTTTAACCCTTATACTTGACGAATCAAAATTCGCATCCGACAGAGTTTCGTTATGTACAGAGTTGTTTTATTTGTCTCTGCATTTCAAATGATATAAATAATCAGCCAAATTGAAAACGCTGACATGTTTCCTAAGGTTAAATAAGGGGAGCGGCGTTTGATAACTATTTCATTTTCAATTTTTAAGTTTTTTATTTTCGTTTTCAATTTTCATCCTTGAGAAATTTTAAATTATTTTTTATTCACTAAGAATAGGACCGTCCCTGTAGAATACTAAATAGGCGTCCGGAAAGAGAAGAAAATGAGTATTTCCTTATTTCGGGTTCTAATTCTAGGTCGGTGCAGTCCACTCGACTCGACTCAACTCAAATAGAACACTTTTGATTAGAAAGTTTCGACTTTACAATGCAGAGAGTAATTATCCCCTTACCATCAAAGTATAGTGCATCAAGTTTTTTTTTCCATAAGGAAGTTTGAAAACCATGTCGTTTTTTAATTTTCAGTTTCATGTCTTTTAAAATTGGGACAAAAAAAACTTGATAAAAGTTTGAAAATCACAATACAGGAGGGTAGTAAAGTGAGTAATAGCCCAATAGAAATGACTCATAGTGTAGACATTCCTCCTTACCAATCCCATCCCATCCCATAAAATTTTAATGTTTTTTAGAACATAATGTTCGTTAATTTCCATAACTCCATTGAATGTCTTAAATATTCTGAATTTGGTTAATATATTGCAAGCATGAGCTATGAATAAATACTTAAAAAATATACTGCTTGGGTCGTTGAAGTTCGATGTGGATGGGGCCCACAATTAGTCTATATTTTTACCACAATGAGAAATCCTTTAGATAAATGGCATGTATATATATATGGGAAATGTTATTGACACTTCAAAAATCTCATTATACACTCCTCACAAGTGTATTTTTCTTGCTAAATATAGAAAGTTTGGAGTGTAGAATGAGAATTTTGGAATGCCAATAACAATTCCCTATATACATATCACAATCAAAATTGCATAGACAAAAGCTAAGGCGTAAATCCCGACTACGCATGTAGAATGAGATTTTTCAGTGTTACTACGCATGCATAACGAGATTTTTTTAGTGTGCTAGGAATACGATCAGATAGTAATAATGCAAATAGTTGAAAACTTAAAAAAAAAAAATTAACCAATTTATCATGGAAAAGTTGTTAAAGAAGAATCTATATCAGAAGTAACAAACAAACAAACAAAACAAATCAACCATAAAATCTTATCTCTTTGCTTGGTTCAATCCCAACAGAATAGACGGACGACCAACCAAAGTTAAACCAAAAGTTGATTACGTCTCCTCCATTTGTCGTCTACCATTTTCTTGTGCTCCTCTCTGTAATTTTCCTTTCCCTTTAGCTTGAGTGGATTTCTTTTCAGAACCAAACCCCGCCAGCCAGCTATAATCACAATCTTATATAATCAATCAAATCTATGCCATCCGAGACACCAACACCGTCGTCGGAGAGCAGCCATGGCGGCACCTACCTCCAAAGCCTCCTGGACACGGCCCGCCCCTTCCTCCGGGGTGAGCTGGAGTCCGTTGACAAAAATCTGCCTTCTCTGGTGGCCGTCCTGCGCTCAGTTGGAGCTGGCGAGTGCTGGCATAAGCACGGCACCTTTCTCGAACACCTGGTTGACATCTACCGCATTCTCAAGATATGGAAGGCCCCTGACTCTGTCTGCCTCTGCGGCCTCTTTCACTCCGCTTATTCCAATTCATATGTCAACCTTGCCATCTTTGATCCTTCCACAGGCCGCGAAGTCGTTCGCGCCCATGTCGGGGAGGCTGCGGAACGCTTGATTCACTTGTTCTGCATTGTCCCCAGACAGCCTCTCATCCATGACGACCTTTTGTTCCACTACACCGACGCAGAGCTCGTGGAGCATCTCAAACAATCAGAGATGTCGCTGCAGCAGTTGCAGAACCAATCGGAAGCCGCAAGTCCGAATTGGAGTTGGAGGAACAAGGTGCAGTGTCTTGTTCCTGCAAATGGGGTTACAGTGAAGCACATAAAGACTGGGGAAGATGTGTTGGTATCGAGGAGGGTACTTGCAGTGTTTGTCCTGATGACAATGGCAGATTTCAGTGATCAACTCTTTGGTTTCCAGGACGAGCTCTTGGATAACAAAGATGGTCGCCTCGAGTTCAGGGGCAACAACTATGGAGCTCTGTGGCCAGGCGATGGCAAGCCAGGGCTTTGGATGAATTCCATATCAAGGATGGCTGCAGTGTACACTTTGATAGTGAGAGAGGAGGAGATGTTTATCCAAGAGAAGAAAACTATTAGTTCTGTTAATGCTACTGCTGGAAGTGGAGGAGGAGAGAATGCCGCGACGGACAAATGTAGAGATGAAGACATCGAGCTGGTGGTGCCACCAGTGTTTGACAAATGCACAAGGGTTCTGGATGCGAAAGAGCAATTGGCTGCAAGGGAATTGTACTGGGAAGCTGTTTGTGATGTGTCTCAAAAACAGGGAAAGAAAGGAGAGGAGGACAGAGCTGAGGAGTTGCTGTTGAGGTGTGTTGAGAAGAACCCTTTTATTGGGGAGCCGCATGTGGTGTTGGGTCAGGTTTATTTGACAGGAGCAAGGTTTGAGGAGGCGGAGAGGGAGGCAGAGAGAGGGCTAACCCTGATGCTGGAATGGGGGAGTGCTTGGGACAAGCGGATGACTTGGGAAGGTTGGATTGCTTGGGCAAGGGTGCTCCTCATGAAGGCAAAGGAGAGAAGTTGGCCACAAACTTCCTGGGGCATCCTCAACTTGGGCCTTGTCAGATAGGTCGAGGCTTCATCGCCATCGCCAAGCTTAGCCACCGCGTATCTACATTCAATAATTAAATGAAGGGTGCCTCCTCGATGGAGGCTCCATCGTATCATCATATATACGTGTATCAGTCAGTCACTAGTGTGTGTGGATGTTTTTCTTGGTGTTTGGTACCTACACTGGCCAAGTAGTCATAACTAATAATGTTTGGTGCCATCATTCTCAAGTTATCATGTTTGTTTTCGGTTGAGTTAGAGTGGTTTCAAATTGGTATTTTCATCAAAAGCAACCCAAGTAATTCAGATAGACGGTCTGATAAGTAAAAAACATTTGCCACGAACCCAGCATTTAAAGAGAAGATGGATTTACCATTTTCCAAAGTGAGAAATTCGATCGGAAGTTGGCTGGCATTCTCCCCTTGCCTCCCCTTGCCTCCCATCCCCTCCCCTCCCCTCCCCTCCCCTCCCCTGCAATATGCGACTCATCCTTCCGTTTGAATGTATGATAATATCGCATTCCAGATGTACCAATATAAATGAAATTTGAATGAATTAAATTATCAAAGGTGGGTATTCGTGGCTTTCAAAATTTTAGCTTATCAAAAGACAAACAAACAATTAGCTAATTTCCTCCAAGTTATCAGCAATCTCCTCACATTCAAACCTAACTTCAACTGAAGAATGGTACTAGGACTTTTACATACACCCTTTGCAAAATCTTATTATTTTTCTCACCCTTACATAAATCCACCTATTTTTTTTTTAATAAGGTTTGGTTCTGCTGAAATGAATAAATTGCCATCACAAATAGACACGTGGCTAAACAATTAAATAATTGAAAACTTCAACCAACATCACTCCCAACTGGCCTAGCATTTTTTTTTCCGAGAGATACTTTCAAATAAATTAAAACCAAGACACTTTCAAGTTATTTTTGAGGACCCTAATGCCACATTTTTTAAATTATTTAATTGTTTAGCCACGTGTCTATTTGTGATGGCAATTTATTCATTTCAGCAGAACCAAACATTATTTTCGAGGACCCTAATGCCACATTTTTTAAATAAGCAATATGTAAGGACTCACCTCTGAACTCTCTGTGACTAGCTCTCCCATCTCTCATATCACTTCTCTCTCTTCCATCTCTTCCGGTCTCTCCGTCTACTAAATTTTCAAGGTGATTTTCCAACCCTAAATTGATATGTTCCATACCTTGATTTTGATATTAATTGAGAATAATGCTAGCGAGACTAAATTTGCAAACTAAATGATGTGTCACTAATAAGAATAAACACGTTTATCAACATTTAAGTAATAAACCGATCATTAACTTTTATGTCCTTTAGTTTTCAAAACTTTATCTCCAAATTTAGTCTTTTTAGCATTACCCATTTATTTATCAGGAATTTAGTTGCATATGTGTATTGTAGATCATTTTAATCCATGAGTATTTAACTTTAATTGGGATCCATCTTCATCTTAGTTACCGGCATATTGAATGAAAATGTAATGTGTATCTACTTTTTACTTTTTGATTTGCCGTTGTTTTTCGTGCATTTGTGTTAGTGTAGGAGAATCTAAATAGAATTCAAATGGGCTAGGCTTTGTAAATTATTGTGGACTTTGGATTACTTGTACATCAAATCAGTTGACTAGTATATATTTGGATTCTCCTACACTAGCAATTTGTGTAGATGAAAGGAAGCAATGTGATGGCTAACTTTGTGTGTGTGTGTGTCATTTCGTGCAGGATTTTTCTTATCTGAGACATGGATATAAATAAATGGGTTGTGTTTAATCCGGTTTATATTAATTCAAAGAAAACTGTAGCCCAAGGAAGACGAATCAGTGTCGAGAAAGCTTGCTACTGAGGTTTACATTTGCATGACCATCTGAATCATAAACATTAATTAATTATGCATATAGGTCCAAGCAGTCGGCGTGATTTGTAGTAATACATGCATTTTGTGCTCCGTTTGACTGTTTTAGATAGATAAGGCTTATCCACGCGATCTCGTGCAAATAGGGAGAGTGAGGGTCTTGCTCAACAGGGGAGATGGTACTCCATATAATCCAGCCATTGCCATTACTTCGGACTAAGGATTGCTTTATTGCTTTGAATGTCTCATGTATCATAGGCCTGTTGTTGTTTTTGGGGTACTGGGCAAGTAGACAATTCTTGTTTTTGCGAAGATATGTGTTACAAGGGAACTCTTGAATGGCACCCGCCCTTTGATGGCAGTAATATGATCTTACAGCATATGATTAAAAGTGAGGGGGAATGTCGTGGGGAGAAATCTCAATTATTATTCTTTTTAATCCTTGGTGCTGAGATGAAACTTACCTTGGAAACGTAGCCAGATACAATCGTTATATATATTGCTAAGCAAAGACTCTACGTCGTGATATTTGGCAGTTTTTAGCTGGTTTTCTCTGTTTGACAAACTTTTTTGGAGTTGTATCTGGTCACCCTCAATTTACTCTCTCTCACCTTATACCACAGGCTCTGATTAATCTGTGAGTCAAGCTGTGTTACTCTGCTGAGCTCTCTATTCTGTGATTTCTGGTCGCCACTTCGGGTTTCCTCGTGCTTTGGATTGTCACATTTTGGGTGGGGGCCGGTGGGTAAACAAGACATAGGGCAACAGTTGGGTTGGGCCAGATGGGGCATAAGAAAGTCCATGCACCTTTTTCCATGTTCGTCTCTCAACAAATTAATTTTATGGCAGTTTTGGTTCCTACACATCCTGGTATGGCGAAGCAGCAGGAGGCTGCTGCAACCACATCAAGTGCAAGTGCTGGACCTGTCAAATTAGGGAGACATGGAGTAGCCCATAACTTTCCCTTTGACACTGAACTGTACCGCAATGCGCAAGCTGCCATTGAATAGTTCAGTCAGTCGAAATTCATTGTCAACTTAGACATTTCTTGTTGGAAATGCATACACAAGTATCATGCTTAAGCTTAAAGCTTTACAAGTTACAATGAGAGATTGAGAGGAGACCATGTCCATCACCATGCCTGCAGCCCTGAATCTTCGACTTAATCTAGTTTTCCAGTTCACCGGCAAGCAAGCAAAGATTCATCCCGTCGAGTCAACATTGCCTGTCCATCCCGTAACATATAGAAAGGGGGCCATTGGTCCTTTCCCTTTAAATCTACCGCAATCAACGCCACCTATCTAATCCAGCTCATGTTTCATCATTCACTTTCTTCTTTTTCACTTTTGATATTTTTTGTTTTTTATAGACAAAAGTTCATCTAAACTACGTGGAACATAGAAAGTTTGAACACGGAACGCAGTGGGTTGATGAAGAATGCTATATTTTTCAGGACAATCCACAATGTTTTTAACTTTTGATTAGTTCATGATGATATTTTTGAAATACCAATAACATCTCACAACGCATTAATTTATAACAACAAGTTCCAACATTTTCTCTAATATTAACATGAATTTTGAATACGATACCTTGAAAAATTGAGAAAGAGAGAGCACACAAGTTGATAAAAAGGAACAAAATAAGTCAAAATTGAAGAACGATTGTTTGACAAATTGCTCCAAAAGTTCAACAACTCTTTCCAACTAATATTTAACATAATTACAACATATATACAATTATACATATCCATGACTAAACTAATAGGGTGTTATCCATATACAATTATATATAAACAATTGCTACCCAAAATAATTGGTCTCATTAACTGCAAAAATTCTGCAAACGCATTTTCTTACCAAGTTTGACAAGCATCGCATACGGAACCGATAGGCATATTAACACTAGTGTTCCTTGCAAATTAGGAAACGTGAATAATCATTAGCAATCAACAGTTAAGCAAGCCTCAGGAGTTAATCTAATTATCTTCTTTTTAATTATTATCATCATCATCAGTAGTCAGAACCTTTTTATTTTCTAATTAATTTTGATTTATGTTGATATATTCAAGACTGTCATTGTCATACTATTTAATTAAAAGAGAGATTCTACCGTTAGAAATGTTTTGCAATTGAGTGGTTAATTTCTTTTTCCAGCTTAGTTGGCAATTATTAATTGAGATTTGATATTGAAAGAAAACCTGATCGATCAACCCTAATCTTGTAATGCATTCAAGTACAAGTAGGGTAGCACAGACTTTGAAAGCGTTACAAGAAAAATAGGGTTCTCTCTTTCAAAATGGCATAAATAATAATAATAATGCAACACACGTATTCTTTGTATTTAAAAAGAAAAATAGATAATATGCTACGTTAATGTTGTGTTATCGAGTGAGTCATACAGTTTTAAAACAAAAATACATGTGTTGCATAATTATTGGCTCGTGTGATTGGGTCTGAGAACTTAGTGATGTTCAAGGAGTTCACACTTGACACCGATTAATTACAAATGGAGTGGAATGAAAGGAGGGCGGAGAAATGATAGGCCTTTTGTTTGGCACAAGAAAAGATTGTGCAAGCGTTGAGTGTTGACAGGTGAAACCTGTGGATGGCAACGGCTACGAGCGTTGCGTTGCGAAATATAAGGGGTTAATTTTATTTTTCTTTTTGAATATAGGGGTTAATTTTTAAAAGTAAAAAAGTAGGGTTGATTTGGCTGCGGAATTTGAATCTAGTGCGCTCCAACGTTCAAACTGGAGGAGGATCCTCGTGATCATCAAACGGTCAGAATTTTATTTATTTTTACAAATTACATTACATGTGAGGAAGCGAGAGACAAGTTCCATTTACTCCCCCGAGAGCCGACCTCACCTCTTTGCTTTTGTTCTGGTTACTATAAATAAGAGACGCAGACACTTGAGAGTTTCAGACACGTCTCCTCCTCCTCCTCCAAACCACATTATTACATGCCTATTCTCTCTCTCTCTCTCTCTCTCAGTCTTCAGACACACACACTTACGCTTTTTTTAATTCCATCTTTTTCATCATTCATCCTAGCTAGCTATTAAGTATTAATTAATCAAATACTTGCTGTCTAAGTGTCTACGGCAAGCAAGGCAAAAGTCCTCCACCCTCCTCGCCTCTCCTGCTGCTGCTTCCTTTCCAGCTTCCACTTTTTTTCTTTTAAGTACATATATCATATCCCCACCCACCTTCACTGGAAAATAGTTACGGTGTTTGTTTTCTGATGCTCTGACTACTGACTGGGACCTCCTCCTCCTCCTCCTCCTCCTCCTCCTCCTCCTCCTCCTACCAAAATGAGAATGCCTGTCCTCCTTCTCACATGGACATGCCGATGGACATGGGCTTGTATTTCCAATTCCAACCTGTTATTGCTCATGTTTTTGTCGATCCTGCTGTGTTCTACATCCTCAGCGTCGTCGTCATCCCCGGCTGTTTGCTCAGAAGCAGATAGAGCCTCCCTTCTCAGCTTCAAATCCAGAATCTTCAAGGACACTACACAAATGCTGTCTTCATGGACGGGCAGAGACTGCTGCGCCGGAGGCTGGGAAGGTGTTGAGTGCAACCCAGCTGGCAGGGTTACTGTCTTGCAGTTGCAGCGCCCAGCCTCTGGACCTGAGTACATGAAGGGCACCCTCTCCCCTTCCCTTGCCAACTTGAATTTCTTGGAGGTACTCGTTATCAGTGGCCTGAAACTAATTACAGGTCCAATTCCTCAGAGCTTCTCCAATCTCATCCACCTCACCCAACTCGCCCTCGAAGACAACTCCCTCGCCGGCCCCATTCCTTTCGATTTAGGCCGTCTCTCCTCCCTCCAGAGCCTCTCCCTCAGCGGCAACCGTTTCAGCGGCCACATTCCCCCAAGCCTAGGCCAACTCCCCCATCTTGTCCAACTAGGTTTAGCCAGAAACTCCCTCACAGGTCCTATCCCACCCACTTTTCTAAATTTCCATGCTTTGCAGTACCTTGATCTCAGCTTCAATGCCTTGTCCGGCCCCATTCCAGATTTCGTAGGTCGCCAGTTACAAAACCTTACTTACATTGACCTCTCCAATAACCAGTTATCTGGTCAGATGCCCATTTCCCTCTTCAGCTTGTCCAAGCTTTTGGACCTGTCCTTGAACCACAACCAACTGACTGGCATCATCCCTGTTCAGGTTGCCGGACTCAAATCCCTCACCACTCTTTCGTTGAGCGCCAATCGACTTACAGGATGTATTCCGGGATCCATTTCAACATTACACAACCTTTGGTACCTCAATTTATCCGGGAACGGGTTTTCGGATCCTCTCCCTCAGACCCTTGCCAGGGGCGTTCCTTCTCTCTTGTCCATAGACTTGTCTTACAACAATCTCAGTTTAGAGAGCGTTCCATATTGGATCACAAGCAGACAACTCAGAGATGTTCATCTTGCTGGCTGTCAATTGAGAGGAACCCTCCCAACCTTTACAATGCCTGATTCTTTGACCTCCATCGACCTCTCTCACAATCAATTTACCGGTGGTATTTCAAAGCTCCTCACCAACGTGACAAGCTTGCAAAGCCTCAATCTCTCCAACAACCAATTGAAGTCTGATCTTTCAGAACTCAAATTGCCTGACACGATTTCTTCTGTTGACATGCACTCAAATCAGCTCGCAGGATCTCTCTCAAGAATCTTAAACGATAGGACAAGCAGCTTTTTGGAGGTTTTGGATGTCTCACACAATCAAATTTCAGGTGGAATTCCAGAGTTGAAGGAAGGCCTGAGGCTCAAATTGCTCAACTTGGGAAGCAACAAAATTTCCGGGCACATCCCCAACTCAGTTTCAAACCTGACCCAACTTGAAAGGTTTGATATATCAAGGAACCAGATGACAGGCACCATCCCTACAAGTTTGGGGTTGGTCGTGAAACTGAAATGGCTCGATGTGTCCATCAATGGGCTCACAGGAAGGATTCCAAATAGCCTGTTAGGGATTGAAGGGCTCAGACACGCAAGCTTCAGGGCAAACAGGTTATGCGGAGAGATCCCACAAGGGAGACCATTCAACATTTTCCCTGCAGCTGCTTATCTGCACAATTTGTGCTTATGTGGCAAGCCAATGCCACCTTGCAGGGGTAGTGGAAAGAAACAAGAAGCAAATATGATGAGCCAGTAAGATGCTGACTCAGACTCGAGAAAATATGAGCATTTTCGTTGAGATTACATGTCATATAGGAAACAGCAAATAGGACATCTCCTGCAAGAGCCAAGATCCAAGAAAGATAGTCACTTATTATCTATTTATTATAATCACTTTCAAATTAAGAAACCTTGTCTATTTACATACCGAGGAGAGAATGCATGTTCTTTCCTTCCTTAAGCTTATGCTCAAACATTCAAATTCCAGAGCACATTGTGTCGTAATCATTTGCTTCAAAAAGTGCCCCGCAAAGGAAACAAGAATTGAGACCCATCAACACATAAATAAACTCAGATGGATTGCAGATTAAAAAATAGAATGAATCAACCCAATTTTTCAATGTAAGTAGGCAATTTATGTTTCAACATACACCAACCAATTAAAACACAAAAACACATGGAATTGAAATGCTCAACTACTAAATTTGCATTCACAAGTCTACCGAAAGAAAAAAGGATGCTTGGGAATCATTCAAGAAGATACATATCATAACCAGTTTCAGAAAAGCCATAGATAGCTCAGAAACAAACAGCCTCAGAATTTACAAGAATCCAGAAACATGCATTAGACTCAATCCCTCCAAAGAGAGGAACATGAAACTTTATATGAAAAGATTTGTGAAGCTATCCTAATACTAATACGCTAGTACTACTCATCAACATCGGCTATTTCTTCCTCCCCTTCCTTCTCTGAAGCTTCTTTCTCCAAAACCCCTTCCGGTGTTTCACCCTGAATTTCCACACAGAAAAAAACCAGAATTTAATAAGAACTACAATAATAATACTAACACATTCAACAAGTAAGCTGAATAAGTCTTACATCCCTAGCTTCTGCAATGTCACTCTCCAGTGCTATTTTGTACTCTTCTTTAAGCTCAGCAGCTTTATCCACGTAGGGCTTCTTCTCCTAAACACATTTTACATCAGAAACAAGAAGAAAACAGGATCAGACAAAGTCTAACGACCATTTCCTGTCCACGTGATAAGATTGAAGGTAACAAATCAAGACCAAAACCATACACAAAAGAATACAGAATGAATACAAATACAAACCTCATCAGTCATAGACTTCCACTTCTCACCACCCTCCTTTGCAACCTGAAACTCCAGTTTAAAGTTACAACATTAGAGGTCACCCAGGCTCATCAAACCGTAGCATATTGTACAGTAACGGAGTGCTGAAGTTGATAACAACAAATACCATCTTAACGCCTTTGGAATCAGGATTAGCTTCCTTGTAGGATTTCCTGAAATCATCCCTGCAGCATACAAAATCCACAATTGACCTCAAACAGCATCTCATACAAAACAGACATCATTCAAATACACAGCAGATAATGTAGTTGTAAATCATTGATAATACATAAGAGAAACAGAAACAGCAGGTGAGAGGAGATTTACATGAAGAGGAAGAAGGCGGTGAGAGGGCGCTTGGGTGCATTTGGATCTTTGTCCTTCTTGGCTCTCTTTGACGTCTTTGGTTGTGAAGTGGTGGTGGTGGACCTCTTTCTGCAAATAAATACCAAATTGAAAAAAGAAAGAAAGATAGATAGATAGACACATAAATCACACGAGATTGACAAATAACAGACAGAGAATGAGAAGTAATTACCTGTCAGCGGGAAGCTTCCTTTTCACTTCAGGGGGCTTTTCCACAACTTGAGCCTCTGGAAATTCATCCCAATTCCCAAACAAAGGAAATCAGATATGGTAGTCTCACTTGTCAAAAAGTAAAACAGAAATTACACAAAATAAACAAGGCAAAAAAAAGGAAAGAAAAACAAACGTAACGCACTGAGGTTGAGCTTGATTTTGGCATCGAGGCTACAACTGTGCATGCTGATGAGTGCCACCGGCACGTCCTTGTTGCACTCCTCGCTGCAAATTATCACCCACATTTAACTCAATTAATCACACTAACACAACACACCTCATATACTAATGGATGGATCTGATCTGATTAACAATAACAAAATTTACAACCCAAGCAAAAAGTCATCCAAACAGTAACACCATGTATTTCTGGGTTTTCCTCTGATTAATTTTTGTGTTGATTAATTGAATTGAATGGCCCTAAACCCTGAAGAATATAGTAGAGGAAAAAAGAAAAACAAGTGTTGGGGTTTAGGGTAGCAACCATCGGGCAAAGGCACTGCCATCTTTGCCGCGAACGAGAGAAGGTGGTACGGTTGACAGGGAGTTCTCCCCGGTCTCAGTGGCCTCCACTCTCCTCCTTGCCTTGGTTGGGTTCGATTTCATTGACCCTCCTCCCATTTCTCTCCTCCTCCTCCTTCTTCTTCTTCTATCAAAATAATGAAATTATGGAATTGAACGGAACCCTACGCATTGCAAGCAAACGAATAATAATATATACACTTACGTAATGATGTTTGAGTTTGAAATTTGACGAAAACACAAGAGGGAAAATTGGTTGCCGCCTAAACCATTTTAGAATCCCCCGCCCGCCAGATTTATTTCTTTATCATCCATTATTCCTGTAACTTTCCCCAAATTTTGACGGTTTAGATTTAACGTCTCTTGTGCTCTCTAATTGGCCTGGGTTACCTCAGTCTGAGATCCATTAGTGGGCTTAGATCTTTTCTCGAACTCCCCTTTCTACTGGGCTCATCATTTGTCCCGCAGTTAAGCCTGACCGCCCAAACGGAGGATGAGTCCAAGGGGGCTGGCCTGGGCCTCTTGATTGACCAAGGTCTGGCCCAATGTTTAGTGTGTTAGTCTAGCTGTGGATCAGTGTCTTTCCTTGTACAGTTGTACACTTGTACTTGTCCAATCTCCAACCGAACTCTCTCGTACTCGTACGAGGGAGAAGAAGAAGAAGTCGACGACATGCCCCACTTATAAATCCAAGTCCGATTCTGTTTTTGAAAAAAATTATTATTCATCTCAATGAAATATACCATAGCGCCTTATTTCCTAGTCTTTTTAAAATTAGTCAAACAAATTGAGACGTTACAAGGATACAATACTAATTATTTACTCTTTTTCCCACCGTAAATGAATTAGTTTTATAAAGGGGTTTTTTCCATTAGTTATATTTATTAATTTCCTTCTTTTATTTTTTATTTTTATTTTTTAATTTTCGGAGGTGATACTCGCGTAATTCAAGATCTCTTCCATTGTCAATTGTTCCAAACCCAACCGTACTCTCTCTCTCTCCGCCTATCGTCTTCTCCCCTCGCCTGCACTGCAAACCCTATGAACTAGTGCTGGACAAGGCCAATGACAATCGGCCATTACAGCTTTGCAGGTACGATTTCTCCTTTTTCCTCTGCATTTTAATGGGTAAAGCTTTTAACTTGATGACGAATTGATCCAGTGGCGCTACCACCCACTGCATGTTTCATCTTTGCAATTCATCCTTTTCTTCTGGGTTTAACTTATATATTCTTGTTCGCTACCTTTCGACTCCCCCAAATTTGTTCCAGTCGTTCAATTTTTCAATGGTTTCTAGGGAGATTTTTTTATTTATTTTTAAAATCTGGTGTGAATTTTGTAAGCAAAATCCTAGTTGGAGACGAGAGGGTCAAGTTAATCAGGTCTTTGCGAATTCTGATGATACGATTTCAAAGTTTTATGCTTTTGAGATTAGATTTACTAGCAACATCAGGTTTCACTAGAAAAGCTTTAGCCTTTTGATTTAGATTTACTAGCAACATCAGGGTTCATTAGTAAGCAAGCAGTCTACCACCAGGTTTCACTAGAAAGGCTTTAGCCTTTTGATTTAGATTTACTAGCAACATCAGGGTTCATTAGTAAGCAAGCAGTCTACCACCCCTTTTGATGAGTTCCTCCTGCTTGGAAACTTGAGGCCGAGATAATGCAGAAAATTTTACACATATATATTATGATGGTCAATCAAATGATCAGTTAAAACTTATATCTGATTATCAAGGCAGTACTTTGGTATACCCATATGAAGTCAAGTGATAATGCAGCTTCCTCAGACCCTCACTGACATTGTGTCTATTAACACATGCTTTTGGTAATTGGTATACACGTGTTTGTAGGAGAGGATTCCTAAGGCTTTGCATGTGTATTACTTATGCTGTTAGCAAAGACCTGCTTCTGGGAATTGATACCAAAAGCTGTTGGATGAGTGCAGTCCTATGTAATGCAGGCTTATGAAGCTTCCTTTTTGCCTTTTTTTTTGTACACTTCAAAATAATCTGCTCAACTTATTAATCTTCTGTTTTTTTAGGAAGGGGGGATGCACTTTTCTTAGATGTTTGGTCATGCGGATCATCTTTATGACTTCTTTGATTCAACTTGGAGATATTGCTCTTTTTTAAGTGGATGGATTGGCAGTTTAATCTCAAAAAACTGCACGGATGTGGTGAGTTATTTTAATTTTTAGTAAAACCTGTTGCTTCTCTATTTATATTGCTGCACCAAGAGATTTAAAAGATACCTCGCAATTTCAGATTGGCTTACCTGCAAGGAACTCACTTTCTAAGTTGGTTAAAGAAAGGGAAACTCAATTCTCAACCTTCATGGCTCAAAGGGAATTTATAGATATTAGTTCATCGGATAGTGATTTAGAGATAGAAGAAAGGGAATATGGCAACAGCAGAGTTCTTCCAAGCTCGCTATCTGGACCTGGCTCAAATCCAAGGAGTAGAGGTTAGATTGGGTTTTGTATTTTAATGCCCCCCCCCCCACCCCCCAAAATGTTTAGAATAAGTTGTATATATTATTAATTACACGACAATCGGTGGAATTTGCAGATTATTCTGGGCAGTTTAGAAAGGTGCCTTCTCCTAGAAGAGCATATGCTTCTAATGGCAACTCTCCTAATGTTAATCAGCACACACAGGTGAAACAGAATTTTAATCCCAGTTCAAGTGATGATATAAGAACCTCAAATCGACATGCTGCTCGAGCACATAATGATAATGTGGAACGGCCTCAGAGTAATCATTCGCAAAGTTCTAATATTTCTCTTAAGGACTATGAGGCTCAGAAGAGGACCCTTCCACAATCTATGCAGCTATCGGGACCGAGTACTTACACAAGCAATGGCAAGGGCCTTATGAGAGACTATTCTAGTAGGGGCTATGACACCGAATTTAATAGGTCTGAAAGCAGTGGGAGTAGGGGCCAGCCTCCCTCTTTCATGCATGGAAAGTCATTTTCCGCTTCACAGTTTGCGAGTTCAAGTGACCCTGCATACCATTCTGGGACAGGTGACGAAAGGGTTGCTGGCAGTGATGAGAGACTGATATATCAAGCAGCATTAGAGGTACTTCCGCACTCAGTTCTAACATTCTTCCATTGCTATTGTTGGTGCAGTAAGCAGTTTATTCTTGATTTCTTTGTGAGGTTCAGCAAAACAAAAATTATCAGGGATTGAATTTTTGCGAAGAGACCTTAACACGTTCAGAAACCCAAAAGGGGTGGCCAGCCACGTATATAGTGCAAAATGAAATTGTTCAGTAGTCTTATGGTAATAAAGAATTAATTTTTCAAGGTACGAATCTTTGGGGCCAAAACCAGTTTGAAAGGGAACATAAATGTGTCCCTTTCTCATGTTGTGCTAGTAATAAAAATTATCTGTAGTCGTCTTTCCTTCCATTTTCTCCTTGATGGTGCTACTATCAATTCATTTGGTTGCATTAGTTTTTTCTTTAACCCTTGTTTCATTTCATTTTCCAATCACTTTTTTTTTTGTCAGGCTCCACGTTCTTGCTTACTTAAACTCGTTATCTTGTAATTGGATACTATTTTTTTTAATCTTTATCATCAAGTTTAGCAGAGTTGTTGTAACAATACAGAGAGATGGTGGGTTTATGCTATTTCTTAAAGTTGTTGAGGAATTTATGGGTAAGACAGATCTCATAATTGTGAGGTCGAGGCCATAATAGTAGGTAACAGAAAGGTGATTGTACCAGGGTGTAGCAATTGAAAATCTGAACAGGATTGGTCCTAGATATGGTTGTCTTAGTTGCATAACAAGGAATCCACTTTAAAGGAAGTTTGGTTCTTGCAGGATCTCAATCAACCAAAAGTTGAAGCTACTTTACCTGATGGTCTTCTGTCGGTCCCTCTTCTACGACATCAGGTTTTTCTCTCTTTTTATAATAATTGGTTTCACCATTCTCTTGAATTCATCATTTTCATGAACTCAAGTAAGTTTACGCCCACAGAAAATTGCTCTGGCATGGATGCTTCAAAAGGAAACTAGAAGTCTGCATTGTCTGGGTGGAATCTTAGCAGATGATCAGGTTATTCAATAATAATCGTCTGACCTCTAAATCTAAGCTTAATCCTTTCTACTTGACTAAAGGTTTCATATATATGCCCTATTTAGATTCATAATGCTTTTGTCTTACAGGGCCTTGGTAAGACCATTTCAATGATTGCCCTTATACAAATGCAGAAGTATTTGGATTCAAAGTCAAAATCTAGAGATTTAGGCAATCAGAAAACTGAGGCTTTAAATTTGGATGACGATGAGGACAATCCCAACGGTGGTTTGGATAAATTGAATAAAACTGAGGCACCTGATCATCTTCGATCAACTCCAGAAGTTAGTACATCTTCACGATCAATCAGAAAGCAGAGGCCAGCAGCGGGTACATTGGTTGTGTGTCCAGCAAGTGTTCTTCGACAGTGGGCTAGGGAGCTGGATGAAAAGGTTGTAGAGGAAGCAAAGCTGCGTGTTATTATTTATCACGGAGGCAGCCGGACGAAGGTTCCTGAAGAACTGGCTAGCTATGATGTGGTTCTCACAACATATGCTATTGTAACCAATGAAGTCCCAAAACAACCTTTAGTTGATGATGATGAACCTGATGAGAAAATGGAGGAAACTTATGGAATACATTCTGATTTTTCAAGTAATAAGAAGAGAAAAAAGGCTTCGATTATTAATAAGAAGGGAAAGAGGGGCAAAAAGGGAATTGATAGTTCCTCTATTGATTGTGGTTCTGGGGCACTTGCAAAAGTGGGTTGGTTTAGGGTGATACTAGATGAAGCTCAGACGATTAAGAATCACAGAACTCAAGTGGCTAGAGCGTGTTGTAGCCTTCGAGCAAAAAGAAGGTGGTGTTTGTCTGGTACTCCTATACAAAATACAATTGATGACTTATACAGTTACTTCAGATTTCTTAGATATGACCCCTATGCTGTATATAAGTCATTTTACAGTACCATTAAGGTTCCAATATCAAGAAACTCAATCCAAGGTTACAAGAAGCTCCAGGCAGTTCTGAGGGCTATAATGTTGCGTCGAACAAAAGGTGAATATATTGTTCCGGTTATTTGATTTGCGTGATAGTTGGTAGTTGTTTATATTTGTGCACTTTCCCGTTTCAAAAAAAATATTTGTGCACTTTTACTAATCCATTAGGTTTGATGCCTTACACATGAGGCTTTACTTTCTCATGTTGAACTAGGTAACCACTTTCTGCGAGTTTCAGAATTCCATGTTGAGAAAGGGAATATTTTCTGGTTGAGAAATAATGGCAAAAATAGTATGGTCTTAAGCCATGCTTTGTAATTTGTACTTGCTTAAAACACTGTCAGAAACTTGGAAGAACTCATTTCTCACATTTGCTCCTCATAAAAGAAGTGAAAATGTACACTGAAAGCATGAAGCAAAATCTCTTCTTTCATTTTTCAGTTGTTTCAGCTGTGTGCCCAATTACGTTATTGTATTTTGTTGTTTATTTTTGGATGAAATTATTCGCAACTAGTTATAATTTACTACTGTGCATTTCTGTTCAAGTTTATTTTGTGGTGTGGTTGTTGATCTGATAAATATATTCTACTTCTTTACATATTGTTTGGACAAACATGTTATTAAAAATTGTTTGTCACTGTGTATGTAGGTTATTAATAGGGGTGTGATATCCACACACCCCATTTTACTTCTCACACACCTTTTTAATTTTCGGCTGTCGGATCAGATGAATTGAAGATCAACAGACAAAAATTATCAAGGGTGTGTGAGAAGTAAAATGGGGTGTGTGGATAGCACATCCCTATTAATAAAGTCTGTTATTGTTCCGATGCTGTGAACTAATGTGGTTGTTTTTTACACCTTGGACTAATTTTGACTTAAACTCATTGGTGCTTATCATAATTGGTTACTTTATGTAGGAACATTGATCGATGGGCAACCTATAATTGAATTACCACCAAAAACAATAAACTTGAGTAAAGTGGAGTTCTCGCCTGAGGAGCGGGCCTTTTATACCAAGCTAGAAGCCGATTCACGCACTAAGTTCAAGGTGCTTTCCCCTTCAATTTATTTATTCTACTTGAGACATCTGATATTTCTTGAGTAATCTGAGATGTAAGTGACAAATGCTGCTAGTGGATTTATTAATGGGAAAATAGATCAGTGCTGTTCTAATGGGCCCCGTACATGCTACTTTGTTGCATTTTTTGAGGTACTTTATATTTATTGCAACCTGGTCCAGGTTGAAATTTCATGCTATAATAAATATACAACCCGCAGTTTGTGGAAACCTGCAGTTTTGAGGAAGATTCGTTTGTGATCTCGTGAAGATTTAATTTGGGTTTATAGATATTCGTGTGCTGATTTGTATTGTGTCTTGCAGGCATATGCCGCTGCTGGCACAGTAAATCAAAATTATGCAAATATTCTTTTGATGCTTTTGCGCCTCCGGCAAGCTTGTGACCACCCTCAGCTTGTTAAAGCGTATGACTCAGACTGTGTTGGGAAAGATTCTGTGCAAATGGCAAGGCGACTCCCAAAGGATATGATATCCCATCTTTTGCATCTTCTGGAAACTTCATTGGCTATTTGTCGTGTATGCAAAGTGAGCTTTCTTGAAACCCTTCCAAACATATTTCCTTTGTAGCTTATAAGGGCCTGTAAATCTTTGTAGACTTGAAAATTCTATTAAGTTAATACGAAAACAACTGTTCTGGAAACTGGTCAGGTACATCATGCACACGTGGAAGGCTGTGATGACTGCCTGTTCCATTGTTAAATGCAGAGTGTGGCAACTCTTTGCACTTCCTGCTTAGGATAGTTCCTTCCTCCAAAACTTTCTTCCGATACTATATGCTTGTACTTACCATGTTAAAATGGTGTCTGCATTTCGATTAGTTTATAGCAAAGCAACTTGTTTTCTTTTGTCATTTTCTTGATTTATTTCTAATACTTGAAAATATATGTTATTGAGATGCAAAGGTTTTATAGATGTGAGTAGCGCAGGACCTAGAGAAGGTCACCGTCTCCTTTTCTGGTTTTCCCAATATACTGTGCATGATTGCAATGAAACCTTTCAATAAATATTCCTTTGCGTTGTGATGCTTCAGATTGAAACTATTTACTTCCTTTCTTAGCTCTTACTAATTATTATATACTTATGCATATTATCTCTCCTGGACTATTAATACTTATCCATATTATCTCTCCTGAATTATAGATGTTTTTCTGCATGGTGTAACACATTGTTTCAAGTAAAAATGTATTTAAAATTTTGAAAGAAAAATATAGTCACACTTACTCGTTTTGGGGAGTTAGGGAGGAATCTGGACATGCTTAACTAGGAAATTTTTGTGCTGATGATTCTCTTTGCCAATTGAAAGTGTCAGATTATTAAAAGAATATTGTATAAATGTGGTGGGCCTATTTAATTCTTATAGTATTTGATGCTTTTGGCAGGATCCACCTGAAGACCCTGTTGTTACTATGTGTGGCCATGTATTCTGTTATCAGTGTGTTTCGGAATATTTGACGGGTGATGACAATACATGTCCTGCTGCTGAATGTAAAGAACAAGTTGGTTCTGATGTTGTTTTCTCCAAATCCACTCTCATAAGTTGCTTCTCCAATAATCTTGATGGTACTCGGACGAATTCTGAGTTGGGCGAGAAATCAATAGTGTTACAGAATGAGTATAGTTCATCTAAAGTCAGAGCTATTATTGAGATTTTGCTTTCACATTTGGAACATAACTGTGCTGGAAGCAATGGAGACCCTGCTTTTGGAACCGAAATCACAGATAGTAGATATTCTGGCGTTTCAAGCTCACCAAATAGTGGACCAATAAAAACGATTATTTTTTCCCAGTGGACTGGCATGTTGGATTTAGTTGAAACATCATTGAACGAGTATTGTATTCAGTACAGAAGGCTTGATGGGACAATGAGTCTGGCATCAAGAGACAGGGGTGTCAAAGATTTTAACACTGATCCTGAGGTTTTGGTCCTTGTCTTGATAAATTGGTCAAATAATGCATAATTGCTTCTACGTTAGTTCATTTTTACATGAGTAACCCTTTTACCACCTCAATCTGGTCATTGATTTTAACATCTTTAATGGTTGAAATATTTTGCAGATCACTGTTATGCTCATGTCACTAAAGGCTGGAAACCTTGGTCTAAACATGGTTGCAGCATGTCATGTTATCCTTTTGGACCTGTGGTGGAATCCAACCACTGAAGATCAAGCTATTGATCGGGCACATAGAATTGGACAGACCCGACCTGTTACTGTAACACGTCTCACGATTAAGGATACAGTGGAGGACAGGATATTAGCTTTACAGGTATGATCTTATACTTAATATTTCTGCCTTCCAAGTTCAATTTGCAGTGCCGATGTACTTTTTTTTTCTTCTTTGGGTTTTCTTTTCCGTCTAGTTCTGATGTGTAAAGAGAAAAGGTTGCTGTTTTTCTGTTATATTTAGGGAATATGTATCATTTTGGCTAACATGAAATACTCGAACAGAAGTTATGTCAGATCAAAGTCTTGATATTGTGTCATTGACTCCCATGTTTTGCAGGAAGAAAAGAGAAAAATGGTGGCATCTGCTTTTGGTGAAGATCATGGTGGGGGCTCTGCTACACGCCTGACTGTTGAGGATCTGAGATACCTATTTATGGTCTAAGAACACAACCAAGCGATTCACAATCGTGTTTCTGGCATTAGTATCTTTGCTGATTCAAAGAAAAAGCTGGTCTAGAAACAAATATTTAGAACTATGAACCAGGATCCTGTTAAATTAAGGATGCATGAAATCAGTAGTAGCAGCAGTAGTAGTAGGGCACTGCCCGATATTGTAGGCTCGCATGGGACTAATGGGTGGATTTGCATCCGAACCTGCATCTGTTTTTTTTGGGGGCTTTTTCCCGGGCCGAAGAAGGCATTTTTGTTCCCAACAAGTGGCGAGTAGCGAGTGAGCATAGGGCTAGGGCTAGGGGACTTGCTGTAAATATTTTCTAATTTATTTTATTGTACAAAAGAGTGTACTAGTAGTATAGCTTCCTTTGTTTTAGTTTTGTTAACAACATGGATGATAAATGTTGTTTTATGAAATATTATTTGCAATTATATCTTGGTAAAATCATTTAATTTTGTTTTTGCTGTCAGGTTGGTTTGTGTCAAGTAAATTATTGTTTTTGCTTGTTGATACTTGACAAAGCTATAAGGTCATCATCTTCCGCTACTCCTATTTTTATCTCTAGCCTCGGGTCAGTGAAATATTTACTAGCTAAGCCTATGCTAGGGTTTTACTTCTCCTCTTCTCTTGGATCCTCCTTAATATATTGGGTTTCCTCATCTTTACTTGTATTGTTCATACACATTACACGTTATATACACACACGTCAAGTCAAGTTTGCCCCTTCCTTCTTTTATTTCTTTCGACTCTCTTCACTTTTTGGAATGTTTGACTTTTTTGTATCATCGGTCATCTCAATTTCCTTTTGTTAAAACTATATTTTAACTAAAAGCTTTCACTAAAACGTGTGTTTTGTCTGTTATTTTACACTCTAATTTAAATCACTTTCGCTTTAAAAACAAGGGGTGTGATATCCACACACTCCATTTTACTTTTCACACACCTTTTTAATTTTCGGCCGTTAGATCGGATGAATTAAAGAAGATCAACGGACAGAAATTATCAAGGGGTGTGTGAGAAGTAAAACGAGGTGTGTGGATAGCACACCCCTAAAAACAATGGACGTAATAAAAAAGAGAATTCAAATAGAGAAATTTGAGTGTTAAGTGAAAGCACTCTCTTAACCAATTACTTGCTTTGCTCTACTATTACTTGTCTTGGGTAGGTACATGCGTAGTTCTTCATAAGTCACGATATATATTTCCACCCTTCTATGTCTTCCTGCCAATTGAAAGGTGAAAAGTGAAAAGGAATGGTCCACATACAAATAAAATATGATGAGCACATATTACATTATTTTACACTCACTCACTTCACGAGAACAAAAAGCACACGAACATGTTTTAAAAAGTTTCATATAAGAACCTCTTAGAACAAGTTTAACTAAAAAGACCATCTACTAAAGCTCACCTCGTTGTAATCTATACTACATATACCTTTCTTCAAATACTATATAGTTCATGAACTTGAATTCAAGCATACATTCAAAAGAAAAGAAAAAACAGAGAAAAAGGAGCTAGGGACGACATATTATAATTAATAAGCTGTTTAGCAGACATTGGGTCCAAAACCCACAAAACCATTGGCTCCATCAAATGAGATTTGGATGCCCTCTTGCTGGATGTTGCCTATTATGGAAAGTCCGGAGGCCGAAGGAGCAAATGCAAAGCAAAAGGTCCCCTTCTCGTCCACCGGAATCAGAAAATTGCTCGCCGGAAGCGTCAGGATGGGCCCACCCGAAAAATAAAACGACACGGTCGGCACCCGAACCGACACGAAGCCGTTCAGGTCATAGCATGTGTCAAAGATGGACACTCCCGACGACAGCCGAGGGAGGCTGGCCGTCTGCTGAAGAAAGGTATCGCGGAAGGCCTCGTAAGCCAACGTCGGGAACCTTGTCACGGCGGTGCCCGTGTCCATCACAACCCCTCCGTACCCCATCTCGGTTTGCCGGAATACGTCTCCGGATATGGGCACCCGCATCCCTCCAACTCCAAGGCCCGCCAGCCCCACAAAATACAAACTCGGGGCCCGCGGGTTCCGGATCAGCGGGACCCATGCAGCACCCACGGGCATCGCCCCACGACCGAACTCCAGGGACCCTCCTCCTCCTCCGCCGGCTGCGTTGGTACTTGTAGTACTAGAGCGGCCGCCACGGCTGACCAAACAATAAGTGAAGGCACCTCCGGTCAGGCCGGCGAGCTGACCAACAAATGACATGGCCCCACCTCCAAGGCCCAAGAGACCAGCGGCTCCCACAAACATGCCGCGATTCATGTGCCCGCAGCCGATGGCTACGTTTCGGAGGAGGGCGCGTCCCAAGGTAAGAGTTTCGAGGGCAAGCGTGCCCTGGGTGTAGGATCCGTCGCCGTAGGAGGCCTCGTAGAGGCATCGACCGGAGTGGCAACCGGGGTTCTGGAGGCGGCCGCAGAGGGAGGAGGCACAGGAGACGCTGGAATACGAAGCAGAGCGGGCGGGGTCAAAGATGGGGTCGGACTGGTGGTAACAATGGGTGCAAGGCTGGCACTGAACCCACACGATGTCACTGCCGGAGTCAATCACCATGTATTGGCTTCGTGGTGGGCTCCCCACTCCGATCCTCACGAAGTATTCTCCACTCCCTTGCTCCATACCCGACACCACCCCTGACCCAAAATCCAACGACTCTAACTCTGAGTCTGAGTAGTTGAGGAGGCGCCGCGTGAGGCTAGCAAACCTTTTGGCATCCCTTTTCATGCGTGCGCGGAAAAGGTGGCTATGAGAAGTATGGCTGCCTTCATTCCCATTCCTGTTTGCATATTGCGACGACATCTTATCCCTGTGGACCACCTTCACCTTCCATTTTCCTACTCCGGATCCGCCATTAGTGCTTCTTTCATATTCTTCATGATCTATATCATCTTCATCATCATCATCATTTAATTTGCTGCCGGTGGTGGTGCTGCTGGTGACGTTGTATGCAGCCCTAGGTGCCCTGTCATTACTTTGAATCGCCGTGATTGTTTCCTTCACGTTCAGCTCTTGAAACTCAGGGTACGTAAGGGAAGTAGTTGTAGTATTGGTGATGGTGGTGGCCACGGCGCAGCTGCTAATTATTAGGAGGAGAAGAGCAGACACCGTTAGCAGTAGTAATGGTGCTTCTGCTTCCTTCACGCGTACGGCTACCATGGCTTGTCTTTATTTAATTGCTTGAGAAGAGTCAAATTAACTAAGCCTGCTCTTAACTCCTACGTACTACTCATTTTAATAAGCTATTCCTTGCTTGAAAGTTGGGTTTGAAATAGTAGGGACAAGGGATGTGGGATTATTTGGTTTGGGTTTTGTATATATAATGGCATATATATATATATATAGGTGACGCTAGAAAGTCTATTTCCTTGAATCATGTTGTGTAGATTATATAGTGAATGTTAACGGTTTGATTCCTTCTTTAAATCAATCACCACATCATATGGTTTATCAAATATGATCTAAAAATATAGTCTCCCTAGCATTTTCATATAGATGTATAGAGCAAAAAGGTGAGATGGAATAATTGGGTTATCCCATTTGTGCATGATCGATGGGGCTCGGTTCTATTTTGTTTTAATATTATTAATTGATGACATGAGAGGGAATTCTACTTTCTTGACTCTTGGGTTAATTGAGGTTAGCTAGTAGCTATAGCTACCTTTCTTCAGCTTTACTTTCTCAATTCTTCATCCTTTTAGGTTAATTGAGTGATAGCTTCACCGCAGTATGCCATCCATCAAGCTCTAATTGATGTATAACAGGCGGCTAAAAGGATCGAATGAAAGTTTAAGAATGTTTAAAATCAGCAGCAAAGCGAAGAAGACTCGTCACTTTACCATAATGCATTGACAATTTTGGCTGAATTCCATTATTTACTAGTTTAAAATTAAATTTTAAGATTTTAAGTGTTTTTCGTGTTTTGTTATTTCTTTAATTTGTTTTCTATTTGTACTCCTAAAAGGTGCATGTCTAAGAGGCCCTATATAAGCAACCATTAGTGGGAAAAAGTTGTATCATATCATTCAATCAACAAACTTAAGTTTTTTCATTTATTAGTGAGTTCCATATTACTAGTTAATTATGGCTTATTTCGTTCGATTAAAACGTTGTGTCGGTAATGTTGGGCGGATATCATTCATGGACATGTAGGATATAGATATATATATATATATATATATATATATATCCGGAAAAAGAAGGGAAAACGATAGAAAATAAATAAAATTTAAACAAATTAAATGAAGAATGAAAACAATGCTTTCTTTATTTTGTCAAAAAGAACGAAAACAATTCTATTTTATATATTTTTGATAAATAATATGATATTGTATCAAGAGAGTAACACTCTCACAAAATAAAGATGCATCATCACAATTGAGTATCTTGCTACAAATATTTATTTTCCTCGCATATATATAGTCAGCCTTTTCCATAAGCTTTAGATAGACACTATTGTTAAAGCTTTAAAAGGGTGATGTTATAGAAATCATTTATTTAAATCATGTTTTATAAACTATATGACGTTCTTTTTAATGATTGAATTATTACTTAAGTGTTGATTAACATGCATATTTCTTACATGGTTTACAAATATAAAATATAAAATTGATCTGCTTCTCATTACTTGCTTTAAAAATGTGAGAGAATTATAAACAACAGAATTTCTATGATATATAATGTCCTCAGTAGTGTTAGCCTTTTCATAGGTAGGTATGCACTATTGTATTATGTTTCTTTAAACACAATCACAGATTACATGTTATTATTAAACATTCATATAAATATATATATACACACACACACGCACGCAGGCTACATGTAAAATGTATATGGATGAATAGGATAATGTATGCATGGATGCAGTAAGGAAATAATATTAGGAGGGGTCAGTAAGAATAGCGCGCGCAGTGTGCAAATTTTTTTATACCAAAAATAGCATGCATATCGCAATTTCATCGAGTCTTGGTAGGCCTGAAGTCATTTGAAAATGCATACTACAGACATGTTAATGTATGCAAGGGACAGTACCCAAGGTATTCATGGACATTCATCGGGTTTAGGTAGGCCTGAAGTCGGTTGGAGAGCAAGTATGAAGCCAACTCTAATCTTCAAAATGGCAACACTCAAGGTATCCATGAACATTCACCGAAATTCGGAGGGTCAGCACCTAAGGTTTCTATAGATGTTCATCGAAGTTCGGGGGGTCAGCTGACCCCCCCTTGCCCCTTAATGGATCCGCCAGTGCATGGATGCATGGATATACATACATATATATATACTCATATATATAATGATTGCAGAACATGATCAACATGCGCGCATGAGTAGGTAGTTGACCACTTGGTCCAGATCCCGCGCGGCCAGGGCCCATGCATGCATGAGGACTAGCCTACACGTATACTTTTCCATCGCAAGATTAACAAGCATGGATGCACAAACAATCATGGCATTGGCATGGCCATCTCCTTCTGCAGGTGGATAATCGGTATCAATATCGAGAGAGAGAGAGAGACCCTAATTCCTACACACACATGCGTACGGTTCATTTGAACGGCATGCAAGCTTGACAAGGCATTTATTTTCAACTTTCAAGAGATTAGCTTAATTTTCTTATTTGCATACAGATGTGCGATCAATAGGTACGTACGTACCTTAGAAAAGTAGAGTGCCTTTTTTTTATCAGCATTGGAAATTGACGTAGGATAAAATATAATAACAAGATATATAAAATCGCCACAATCTTTCTCCATCAATGAGTGTATTGTTCGTTTAAAAGCAAAGATTGCATATAATCCAACTTTTGTCCCTATAATGGCGGCTGAGCTCACTCTTTTGGAGAGATTATTTTTTAGATTATATTTTGTAGATCATATGATGTAGAAGTTAATGATTAAATTCTTTGTTTGATTCATTAAATAAGAGATTTAATCATCAATCATCGTATCATGTAATCTATAAAATATAGTTTAAAAAAGATAATATCTCTAGCATCACCTCGAAAGAAAAATCAAACGACGATAAATGCCTAGCTTATGGGCAATCTAGCATCAGATTAATTTCATAACCGAGTGAAATATATTCAATTGCTTTTGGAATTATGACTAGAAATTCCATTGGATATGGATATATTGACAATCAACATTTTGATGTAAAGATGTACCTGGATCGATGATGTACAACAGAATAATCTTGATTTGTAACAATAATAGGGTTTTGTTTAAAATCACTGAAAAGTAATCAAAGTGTAATGTTGTAGAACTAAATGATTCTAGCATGTCTCCACTAGCCAGTTACAGTATCGATAATATCCCACTTCCATAGCTTCTTTCCCATCCCATCCCATCCAGAGAGAGGGAGGTGGAGGTGGAGGTGGAGGTGGAGGTTGTGGTTGTGGCTTCCCAAAGAGATTCAGATAGATATCATACAGGGAGGGTTAATTATATAATATTCAGATGAAATAATGAATTAATACGACAAAGACCAACCAAAGTGAGCATAAAAAAATTAGGACATCAAAATAAGTGGGAAGATGACAGAAAATATAAAAAATGGATGAGTTGGGAATAGAATAATTAAAGATGTGAGAGCACCATCGACAGAGGCATATTCCAATAATTGTACAATTATAGCACCTAAAAGTGGTTCTTATTTTTAATTAAGTAGTCTCTGTCTCTATCTCTATCTCTTTTCTGAGTTTTCTCTCCGACTCTCACCACTCACCACTCAACACTCACTGGATGTTATAAAACACGTAACGTAAGCACTTGCTTCACATAATATTCTTAGTTATATTATTATATATGCATCAAATTAAACAAGGCATTGTGGATTCCAAACAAGTATCAATATGCTTCATGGTATCTGGAAACCCATCACCATCATCACTTGTTGGTATCTCATCGTCTGCACTGCCCTTGTCATCATCAACAACCACCTTATCTTCTTCATTTCATCGTCATTGTGGCCTGCTTGTAGATGATGGATGATCTTCACTGGTAATACTAGTACAAGCACTAGAGGATCTTCACTGGTAATACTAGTACAAGCACTAGAGGATCTTCACTGGTAATACTAATACATACAAGGCATGACAACTTCCGAAAACGTGTATGAATAGAGAGAAACAAATTGTGCATGGTCGCAATTTGCTACAGATGATTCCACTCACAAAATTTTAGTTAGTGGTGATGTCAGTATACCATAAATAACAATAACTTGACAACATCCGAATTACATGCTCTCTTTCGAATTGTATCACAATTTATCTGTCTGAATTTAACCTCAACGACATTAACATTCTTAAGCGCACACAGGCTTAACATCAAATCTTCCTAAATTAATTCACGTATCTCCTCTAATATGTAAGGCTTTGCAAGTTAAAGTTATTGCAAAGCCCCCCAGAATGGTCTGCAAAGAATCAAGGTCTGCAGAGATTTGGCGGGAGCAAGAAAGGCACAGGTTAAGCAATGTAATGACTTTTCAATGCTTCCCTTCAAACAACCACGCAACAAGTTAATAAGAGGAAGATTCACCTCATTACAGACTCTTTTACAAAGGATCTTCCACCTGAGCTGCAAGAGCAAAGAATAATTATGAGCCCAAGACTCAACATGTGACTTCACCAAGGGTAATTAAACTGTAAGCCAAGACTCACGCATATTCAAGGTGGATATTCATGAATCGGCGGTTTTCTTTGCTTTGTGATAGTGTTACAGAACCTTCAATGAGTTGATCTTGCTCCAGCTCAATTGGCTCATAGAAGTATAGCACAGTCTGTAATATTGATTCATTAGACGGGCCGATGAAATGTTCATAGTAAAATATAAATGGAAGATCAGGGATAACTACAAAATACTGTACCTGTTGCCAATGCGTTGGAGGGTCCTCAGGTGCAGTGGACAGAACCAATGCTTCATTGGGATTTGCTCGTTTCTTCCTCTGCTGACTCTCCACTGGAAGATTGTTAAAAAGCACGGATGGTGCCTGATTATTTGTAGGAGCTAATGTAGGTCCACTGAATTCGACATCAAACCAAAATGCAAACCCATGTAATGGAGCTGTAAATCAAGAAATAATTACAACCACAACAGCGTCTACTGAAGTAAATGAGATTAATACAATAAGAACTTCCTCCTCTAACAAAAAAAAAAAAAGTTCATTCAATGCATAAACCCACAAAGAGAAAAGAATTCAAGGTTATAAAAAATATGTAGTGAAAACAATAATGAGACAGAAGAACTGCAACATATAAGAGAGAGAGACCTCGCATCATTGACTTGAACTTGTAGTTTGCCGTAACAGATTCTAACTCATGATGTGTAACTGTATGGCAATCCACATGCTTAACCTACAAAGTAACAGCATGATGCCTTCGATTATATACTTTCTACAGACAAACAAAAATGACAGAGCTTCAGATCATAGTATAAAGGGCATCAGATGACAGATGGAGGTGCGAGGCCGCTTAAATAGAAAAACCTCAGGCAGCTCCTTAATGACCTCAACTTCCCAAAACAGACATCTCAGAAGGTGTTCGAAAGAAGCATATTCACCAGAATGCTGGACCACAAGCAAAGTCAAACTATTTGTTTGACTGGGGAAAATAAATCTATAAATTGATATTAATGAGGAGCATGCATAGATGAATCCAGTAGCCATAACAAGAAGGAACCAACAGTTTTCTGCCAACAAAATGTGTAACGTCAAGGAAGTAGCTCATGCCCAAGTCATGATTACTCTACTTCACCTCAAGGTTGATTTATTGGTAGCAAAGAAATAAAATAAAAAAACAAACAAGAAAGCAGAAAAGGAAAACGTCCACATTTGGTGGGAAAGGTTATTACTATCAAGACAACCCATAAGTATAATGAAAACCATAAAAACACATAAAAATCTGGAACTATACTGAGAGAACTCACCACATGTGGCCATGTCAAAACATTCTCACCCACAATCGTCTCAACAGATGGCTCTTCAAACGCACATTGTTTTGCCAATGGCAACATGGCAGACACTGCAAACAAGCCAATGAAAGAAAATGATTCTGACCTCCAAGCAATAAAACTTTTCTACATTATACAAGTGGAATGGTACTTAAATAAATGCTGATACTAAGCTCAAGTAAGGATTATCTTTAACATAAGTTAAAAAAAATGTAAAAAAGCATAAAGTTTAGGTGAGCTTCTTGATGGTCAGTTTTTAATTTCGTGAGAAGGGTCACATTCCCCAAATATACTCCTGCACCGAAGTGTAGGAGTTGTGCTCCCCTACTGCAAATTTTACTTTCACATATTTTCAAGAGCTCCGCTTAGAATGGGTGTGGCCACTGATTGTGTCCTAGCAACAATTCCATAGATGCTGGTAAAATTTGACCAAGGTTGAAAAACTAATTGAAAAAAGTTAAATGGCATTAAGCATCGTCTTCAAAGACCCAATAAATAACCGAATCCAGGCAAGGCATGCAATGTGTGTTATAAGTTCAAATAATCTAATGTAGTACAAATCCAATATATGGCGATAACAATTGAGATCATGTTATTATATATGATGTATACTCACTGTCAATTCCATAAACATTGCGCCAGAAATCTATGCTTTCACTGTATCTATCAGAATGTGTGATAGGTGCCATGTACAACTGCAATCATACAAACTAAAAATCAGCATGACAAAAACAAATTCATTCATCGACAGCTGCTACATTGTACAAACTTGAGCTTGACAACGCTACATCCCCACTACACAAGTTGATAACACACAATGATATGAAGCCAGCACCAGTGTAACAGATTTCAGAATTAAAGATGCAGATGTGACCGTAATTGAAAGACCAAAAACAAAAAGAAAGATACCGTTGCACTTGAAGGAAGTATTAGACCTCCAGGTTTTAGCCAGCGATCTCTTGCTGTGATCACACTTCCCAGCATACTCTATAATAGGAAGAAAAAAAAACCAAGCATGCCAACAAAAGAAATGGAAATATATCATAAGGTTGCAAACCATAAAGCAGCTCAAGTATACGTATTCTGAGGTACAATCCTATATCCAATACTTCACTATACAATCATGAATACAGATATGTTAACAGCTACCTCATACAGAAGCATGTAGCCCATCCATTCTGAAATTATAACATCAACCTCCTCATCAATATTGACATCCTGCAGAACTATCATTTTTAGCAATAGATATTGTTGGCTTGTAATTTGTAATTCAGATCAATAATTTGGGAAAGCCAAAACAAACTCATCAATCTCTCTCTCTCTCTCTCTCTCTCTCTCTCTCTCTCTCTCTCTCTCTCTCTCTCTCTCTCTCTCTCTCTCTCTCTCTCTCTCACACACACACACACACACACACACACACACAAGGAAAGTCAACAAAATTGTCCTGGTTGTACAAGCATACCTCAACTCGCCCATGTAGTACGATGACGGTTTCAGATAGATTGTTTGCTTTCACAACTTCATTTGCCTGCTTACAAATGAACGAGATTAATCCAAATTACAAAGCCAATCCTAAAGCATCACAATTAACATATTTCATCTTCATGAGAATGAACTTCTATTTTTTCCGGATACACCATGCACAAAAGTTCAAGCTAAAGATACATATAGGTAACTTTGACTCAGGTACTTCCTCAATCAGAGCTTAAGGGTAATGAGACATTTTACATTCAAGCAAAAACACTGAGAAGATCAGAAATAAATGAATACAGAATCAAATCACATGCAGATAGAGTAAAAAGCATTACTACAAGAACTTACCTGCACTGCAATGTCACTTGCATCAACAGCATATACCTGGTAGGTTGTAACAAAACACATAAGAGAATGCTATACAGAATGTAAAACAATGCCAGGACGGGACACAACATAGAAGTGACTTAACCAAACTACAAACATTAAAATCAGGGGAAGACTGTCCAGTTTTATTCATCAGATATCATTGAAGAGAACGAGCAAAAATGGCTGTGACATATTTTGAATCAGTAGATGGAAGTAGTGATTTGACACTACCAAAACCCATAGTTAAATGAAATGCATACCATCTTTCCAAACAAAACACTTTTCCCCATGTCAAAAGGAAAATTATTGCAACTAAACACATACAATTTGGTCAATATCTTATTTGCAAATTTATGAAATAATATTGAAAAAACAGCTTACACGTTTTGCACCAGCCTGAGCACAAAATATAGAAAGAATGCCAGTGCCACAGCCAACATCCACTACAACCTGCAAGCATCATTCAATCAAGAATTTAAATGAGCAATTCACTGCAGAAACAACCCTCTCCACAGAGACATGCAAACTGAGTAGAATAGGCATGTTCTGCACATGTGAGAGTATGATTCCCCAGTACGTTAAGTTCATATGCATAAGGTATGTCTTATAAATATTACAGGAGGTATTTACATCCACAGAAGGCAGTACCAAATAGAATACACATCATTTCTTAACTACAATTATAGCTGCATTACTTTGCCTGCTATAGAGCTCTGGTGCTGCATGATTGCCGCCCTATAAGATTCAGTGCGTACACGGTCCTGAATGATGACAGATTGCCACATCAGTCAATAATTTATATGACGATCAAATTGGAAAAGAAAACCCTCATAGCAATGTATTTTTTCCAATGACAAAGCATAAACAATTACCTTGAAATTTAAAACTACAAAGGCAGGGAACCTTAAACAAGATATACTGATGTTATGGGCCAAATCATCATACATGGGTTCATATTCTGATATTCATATTCGCATTCCCACTTGAGATGCATTCTCTTAAAAGACGAAAAGCAATGCAAGTATCAACAATGGAATATCGCATCAAACTAATTTCGTATCCTCGGCTGCCACCGGAAAATCAAACAGCAGTAAAAACAGAATGAAACCCTAAACACTAACACTCGAGACATTTGATCGCAATCGATTCTGGAAAAGCAGATGGAAAATTAGCAAGAAAACAAAAACATATGTGCAGCAAAATGCACCTTGATCATTTCTTCGTGGATGCCGACGTGCGCGTAGGAGTGGAAATAGGCCATGTCGAAGTCCGTACAAGGCGCTCCCTGTTGTTGTTGCTGCTGCTTATTGTGCTCAGAAACCCTAAGCCCGCCAAAATTACCACCACTGCCGAAGTTGTCTCTGAGCTCACGTGACCTCGCACGTGTTCCCCGGCGGACTCTATCCCTCTGGCTCATCCCGTGTGGCTGCTGCTGCTGCTGCTGGTAGCCGTTACTGTAAGCCGGGGTCGAGTTCATTATTTTGGTGACAACTCGCTTGCTCGCGCTCGCTCGCTCACTCCCAAACCCCAATATTACGAGAGACCAAAAAGAAAGCGCCGTTTGAGGGCCTCCCTTTAAACCCGGCTAACTTCTAACCCTTAACGTAAAATTTAGGTTCTAAACCCCCCAACTTGCTCTGATTTTTGGGCTAAAAATCAATTTTGGGTTCAAACTGATCTTTGGGGTAAATTTAACCAAATAAACTAACAATGCAAATGACCTGGCCCACTTCAGCGCATGGACACGTCATAAAAAGAAGGGAGCCGCAACCCACTAAGGCCATCTCCAACCGACGCGGACAAAAGGTTTTAGGGCTAAAAAAATCTAATTTTTTTTCCTATAAATACCTAAGTCATTCCACCATTCCATACTATCTTACCTCATTTTATTTCAATTCTTCACATTCCATTCTCTTACATCTTCCAATAATATTTCCTTCAATTTTTTCAATAATTTTCAAATGACCACATCTGCAATGAAAGGGAGGGCTTGGACCCGAAAAGAAGATTAAGCTCTTTGCAGGGCTTATATACGGGTCTCGGAAGATAGTGTGAAAGGGAGTTCTCAAACAAGTGAAGGTGTTCGAACTCGTACGTCCAAAAAGTACTATGAGTTCTACGAAGGCACCACTCTACCGAATTCCCGAAACCACGAGAGTTGTTCTTCGAGATGGAAAAAACATCTTCATCCAAGTTTGAATAAATGGCATCAACTTAAATTGAAGTTGTTGTAGTCTTTAATATTTAAGTTGTAGTTTTTAAATTTAAGTTGTAGTTTTTAAATTTAAGTTGTTGTAGTCTTTAAATTTAAGTTGTAGTCTTTAAGTTTAAGTTGTAGTTTTTAAAATGAAGTAGTTGAATCTATAAATTGAGGTTGTTGAATTTTTAAATTGAAGTTGTTGTAGTTTTGAATATGACTGAAAACCTTATTTTAATAAGGTGGTTTAATTTAAGTAACCATATTAATTTAATTAAAATAATAAATTATGTTTTGACCCCCTCGGTTGGAGATGGTTTTTTATCAGAGGGCTATGTTTGGCCTATGACCCTTTGGGCCATTGGTTGGAGATTATATGAAATATGGCCACATACTGTTCATTAAAATATAATTTATTGGAAGGCTATAGTGCTAAAGGGAGCCCTCTGGCCCTCCTTCGGTTGGAGATGGCCTTACACACCCCAAACGTGGAACACGCTCGTCTGCCTTTAGTGTCCGACAACTAGTGGCCCATTGTCAGGGCAGTTGTCAGCCACTTGCCGCCTGCCAACGATTATTTTTGAGATCGAATGGATGAGATTAATGGACTGTTAGTTGATCCAATGGTTCATATTCAGTTTTTTTTTCTTTAAAAATATAATTTTAATATATTAAATCCAATGGTTGAGATTCAATATGATCAAATCTAACAGTAAAAAAAAAATCTAATGGCCCAAAATTAAATCCAACGCCTAAAACAATTAAAAGATCATCTAAAACAAAGTTTACCCAAAAAAATTATTTATCGAAATCTAAGTGCTTTTAAGTTTAAATGTTCATAAAATTCCGACGGTTGGATGTAAAAGTTTCCCTAAAATTCCGACGCCTATGCCATGTGGGCTTTGAATCTCATGTGTAGTAGGGGCACAAATGTATATATGTACAATTATCATAATTGTCTTGAAACAAAAAGTTGACTTAATCCAAATAAAAGGGTTAGGCTTTATCTTTTCCTTAAAGTTTGTATATTTGCTTAAAACCTATATCTCAATTGGTATTTATCACCCTCAAAAAACAAAGTCAGTTATTGACAATTTTTTAAGGTAATTTTCTTTAAAAAAAATCAATTCGTAAAATTATGTTTTACAAATTAAATACAAAATGCAATTGGCTAGTTAGTTAGAAATAAAAAGGTTGGGCTCGATGCAGGCCCGAAACTGTTACCGATATTGTTTTATGGGCCAAAAGTATCAAAAAAGCCCAACAGGCAGAGCACGCCGAATCGGCGGGTGGGGTTGGAATTGGATCACGTAGGAGGATTTTGAGTTGCCGTACCCACCAAGAATGGAAATTTGGAATGGAGTTGTTTCTTTCTTTCTTAAAATAAAAACACTAAATAAATAAAAAAAAGGTTAAATCCCAAAGGCAGAAAGGCAGAAAGGCAAAGGAAAAGGCCCCTCGTCAGTCGGCCCTCATCCTCTATCTATAAATACTAGTAGTAATCGCGTTGGTCCGTGGTCGTATCGAAATTCGAAAGATAAAGCAATGGCGGGTGTTGTGCTTCCAGGTCCAGGTACAGGTACTACCGCGGGAAGGGAGGCAGCGGGGAGCAAGACTCGGACTGAGAAAGTGGACTACACGAACCTGCCTTGCCCCATTACTTATGAAGAAATCCACCACGAAGCTATCAGTTGAGTACCAATTTCTTCTTTTTTTCTTTTTAATGTATAGTATTTATTTAAAGCTTATGACTTTATTGCTTCGTGTGTGTTCCTATAATTTTAATATAACTCCTTCGTTGGCGGGGTCAGTATCTGTTATGATTCATTGTGTGGGTTTCCGGTAATTAGCTTTGATTTGCTCATAAACGTGTTATGCTGTGATAAAAATTCATCATTGGTTTACTTTTAGTGAACTCAATCATTTCACTTCAGATTGTATACTTTTCTCCGGGTCCAGTTTTTATCAGATTATATGCTATATCGTATATGTCACTGAAACGATAGCAGCTGCAATGCACTTGATGGTCAAGAAAACTGCATATTGGCACTAGTTTTTTGACTTGCGTCTCTGAATGGCAGTGTCTTTACGGCCACAACTTTTTGAGGGAATGCGCTTTGATTTTTTCAAAAGACTCGACCACAAGTTCTCCCTTAGCCACAGGTTTTTGTATTCTCCTCTCTCAACTTTTGTTTTTGCATTCCTTCCTTATCAGTCCTTTCTATTCTTCTGCTTATTTCACTGACTGTTTTCGCATCCCATCAGTTTCTCCATGGGACCTGTGACAATTCCTCGTCAATCTGCCGAAATCTTAAAGGTCCCTACTGCCAACTATGAGTTTGGTGCAAATTTTATAGACCACCCAAAGGTAGGTAGCTATCGCCGTATTTACTTATCCAGAAACCTCTACTGAAAGGAGTAATTTATTTTGTGTGCGTTTGTGCTTTTTGGGGGGGGGGGTGATTAAATTTGTAGTTGATGCTTGTTGGGAGGGTATTAACAGACGGGAGACTTAATGCAAGAGTCAAGTATGACTTGACTAACAACCTCACTCTCAAGACTAATGCTCAGGTGAATATTCATCCTTGGATTAAACTGTTCCCTTTTTTCTTCTTGTGTAGAAAAAATGTGGAAGTACTGATGTAGCCCATTTATTTCGATTCTTATTTACAGCTCACAAATGAGCCGCACATGTCTAATGCCATGGTCAATTTGGACTACAAGGTCTGCTCACTATTTTTATTTACTTTCATTGATTTAATTTGCCTTGTTTGACCTCATTACATATACAATTAAGGAGTTTCTTTGGCTACTTTTCTTGTTTCATTTTACATATCTGGTTTCGCTTCCTAACCATCACTTATGCCCATGTGGAAGTACGGATGTGTTGGGGGTTATAACTCTCCTAGTTCATGGTGTCTCTCATCTCATGTGTCATATGGTGCTCCTAGTTCTGACATTCTCACTTGGTACAGGGTTCAGACTACAGATCCCAGATTACATTGGGTAATGGGGCCTTATGTTAAGCGAGTTATATGCAGGTAATGGTGTTCTTTTTTTTTTTCTTTTTACCCTCCAGATAATGTAGAAACTAGTACCAACTACCAATTAGTTTACTTTTGTGCCCATGTAACTTTTGGGATATTCATATTGGAATCAAACATGTCTTGGAGGTCCAGATTTATCGAGATATTCATAGTACATTTCCCTTATTTTAATTGTAATTTGTTTATTGATATTGTATATCAATATCAAGAACATGATTGACCGAAAATTGGCTCTGTTTTGGTACATGTCTTGTAACACTAGGCCGCTGCAGGTGGTTTATGCTAACGTTCTTACATTAATTTCAAGATGTTTTCTGACCTAGTCTGTCTATATTCTATATACTCTTGCAGTCAGTGACTCCTCATTTTTCTTTGGGTGGTGAAGTATTTTGGGCCAGCCAGCATCGAAAGTCAGGTATCGGTTATGCGGCTCGGTTCAACACTGAAAAGATGGTAAGCTAGCTTGGGTTTCATCTTGCGTCACATGTTTGAAGGCAAATGATTTATCGTTCTGGCCATTATGCATGGTTTGTACATTATCATTATATTTTATTATTAACAAGTACTGTACTGAGAAAGGACAGAAAAGAAAGAGAAAGAGAAAACAAGTTGTTGGCCTTAGAATAGAGAATCAACTGACTACTAACACAGACAGAAAACAATCAGAACATTACTTACTCCAACAAGGAATAACAATCTTTTGGGAAAACACAGATTATCTCTGTAGGCACACCAGATACAAGAGTATCATCTTAATAGTCTTAAAAGTCTGGTCATTATCATTATTCTAATGATTAAAAAAGTTCAACGTCTTTGTACCCTAACAACTTTTTAGTCGGGTTGATTTTATTGGGTTACACAGATTCCTCCGTAACCAAATGTGATGCTCATGTCTTGCCTGTAGGTTGCCACAGGGCAGGTTGCTAGCACTGGAATGCTTGCATTGAGCTATGTTCAGAAAGTATCTGACAAGGTAGAAAAGTTGGTTTGTTTAGAACTTCAGGTTATATCTTATGACTGTATGTCTATTATTGTTTTCCCTACTTTGGAAATTGTGGCCTGAACAAGAATACTAATGTATTTATGCAGGTTTCACTAGCGTCAGACCTCATGTACAACCACATGTCAAGAGATGTCACAGCAAGTGTTGGCTATGATTACGTCTTCAGACAGGTAGATTCTGCCATCAGAAATGTCCTAGGTTCTTCTAAATTTTGTTATGAAGGAATATACACTATTTTACCAGTTCATGATGAACAAAGTTGAACAAAGTGTGTTCATCAAAAGAAAACTTTGAGAAGTTTCAGTAAAGTTCATCAGACACGATGGCAATAGATATCTTTTGTTTTTAACGACAGGAAACATTAGAACTAGGTGAGCCTGGTATTTTACTCGATAAACCACAAATCTTTATTGGGTGTGGGCTTTAGGCTCCCAGGGTTTTCGAACTAGGTGAGGAGCGCTGGCAAGAGGCACTAATTGGGTTTCTTGCCTCTTTCCTCAACGCCAGTACGTGTGAGCGCCTTTTAACAATCCCACGCAAATATCACATGAACCTATTTGCTTATTCAGAATCCAAGAAATATTATGTTACTGTTATTAAGCAAAGAAGAAAAAGAAATCAATTAAATACTATTTATGCTTCTTGTTTCAGAGTCGTGTTAGAGGGAAGATTGATTCCAATGGCTGCACGGCTGCTTATCTTGAAGAGAGATTAAATACGGGTCTTAAGTTTATTCTTTCTGCGGAGGTGAGAAATCAGCTGCTTTGAATTGTACAATAATTTCAAGCCAGATGAGATATATGACCAATGGCATCAGGCATCAGGCATCAGCTATGCTTAGATATATTTGTTGTATGATGTTTCCAAGTCATATTTGTCCAGCATTAACAGCATGTTACCAAAATTTCTGTTTGCAGATCGATCACAAGAAGAAAGACTACAAATTGGGGTGTGGGATTACACTAGGAGAATAGCTTCACAGATGATGCAAAAGGAAGGGGCTGGCTGTAGTAGGAAATTTTTGTAATTATTTCTAGCACCACTTTTGTGCCGCCTATTGTGAACTTTTTTGCCTCTATGTAATCATATAATTAATTTTATGTTATGAAGGTGAAGGAATTTCTTACTAGATTACTGATTATTATTATTTAATACCAAACCATGCGTGGTTAATTGAATACTAGTGACTGCGTGACTTTTATCAAATAGTTTTAACATTATACAATATCAATTGATCAATTGACAATCTTGCATTTTGGATGTTTGAGTGTGGTCGTATAACAGAAGGGCCCAACCCAATTTTTTATTTAAGACATCGTCTAAGGGCTCAGTCTTGGAGTCATGTACAGTTGTACACAACTTGCATAAGAATTTGGAGTAGATTTGACATGGAAATAGAGAAAAGTGTACTGCTAGGGTAGTTCACACACTTATTTTTATTTTTTACATTTTTTTTATATTTTCGACTTTCAAATTGAATAACAATTGTTATTCTAGAATCATGCGACATGTTTTAGAATAAGTCTAATAGAATGACGATAAGACTTAGTTGCCTAGTGTTTCATGTCAGAAAAATAAATTGAGAGTATTGACCTCTCATGGTCTCCTTTTAGCATCGAATTCATCGATTCCATTGATCTCCCTCTCTCAGTTCTAAGTGAGTATGTGTATGTACAAATTCATTATCTTGCGATAATTATGTTTTAATGTAGTTCTTAACCATTGTTGCAAGAACTCCTTAAGAAAATGAGGGGAGGGAGGGGCGCGCTTGCTTGGTATTCCTGATTACCTATAGGGGCAAGGGCAAAATTTTAATTAGAAATTTGAGGTCATCAAAGCAAACTTGTATATATTGCCTAGGAGTTGAGAGAGGCGAGAGAGAGAGAGAGAGAGAGGAGAAGAGAGAGAGAGATGAGGAGGGGGAATAACAGGAATACCAAGACAAAGAAAGCGGCAGCAGAGAAGGATGAAGTTGAAGAGATGCTGCAGGCGGCACAGGACGATTTGCTCCTCAAGCTGTCCGTCGACTCTCACATGTCCCACCGCCGTGTTTCTCTGGACGACGATCCCGATATCGACCGTCGCTTTCATGCCCTAAAACTCAAAACTACCAGTGGAGTTGCTGCTGCTGATGCTTCCGCCTCCAATTCCAAATCTAATCGGACCAATTCCGTTCAAGTGGACGAGGAAATAAAGGCAGTCCTCGGCGACGACCTCTCCGCTAGATTCGCCGCTCTCAAGTCTTCATTGCCCACGGCCACGGCCACTCGGTCCTCCTCCTCTGCAACCACCGCCACGTCATCTTACTACTACGATGACTTGGATGATGAGGAGGATGAAGTTGAAAAGTTGATGCGCTGGGCCAAGGACGCCGCACGCCTCGACCCTTCTCCACCTTCCGATTCCGATGACCCGGACAAGTCTGAATCTGACGACTCCGACGACGACAAGAAGAGAAAGGGGAATAGAATAGGGCCCAATTGTAAATAAATGAAATTTTGTGTTGGTCAATTTGAACTGATACATACAAATTTATGAATAAATGAAACATTGTTGGTTGGAAATGAAACATACAAATCAAACATTAGTGCGTACGATACGATACGACGTTGTTCTTCTTTGTGAAAGAATCAAAGAAAGCAGTAATCAACAAAACCAACAACAATGTTTACCCATGATGTATTTTAAACTGTAACTTGCCGAAGACACGGTAAAACTCGACTTGACTGCCAAACAATCTTAAATAACAATGATAAAAATGTTCTTCTTCCTTCACCAGTCTGCCTATTACATTTATGTTTACAGCGAGTAGGACGATTGTCAAGCAGCTCTATCAAATAAATAAATCCTTCTTCCAAATGGCTCCAGATAACCAACCGAGCCAGCCATGGGGCACCAATCCCCCTTGAGGTTGAATCACTCTCTCTCATAATCTGATAATCTAGTTCCATATCAACAAACAAAAACAAAACCAACAACAAAGATTTTGAACTCTTCCGCGTCCTGCAACTATAATGTTATTAAAACAATAAGACAGAAGAACCAGTAATGAGATTAACGGAACTCATCATGGTACCCATAGTCCTCTTCCTCGTCGTCACTGAAAATAGCGCTGTAAAATACATATGGGTTCTCTATCATCTCTCCCAGCGTTAGTCGCCCGTCTTTATCCGTATCAGCCTGCAATTCACAAATTTGTCACTTAAAGGCAGCACAACAACGGCACATATACTATAATACATCATCAACCGTTCCTACCATTCCAAGCTTCCTCCTATGCCACACCCAAATTTGGAACAACTTTTTACTTTATTTTATTTTCTAGGGGGGTATGGAGAGGTACGAAGGGAACTACATCGTTACTATCAAACTTCATTTGATGTCTTCAGTGACAGAAGAATGACAAGATTGCAAACTAATGTCTACTTGTTAATCAGCTGATAATTCCACCGTTTTATAAGGTAGATAGCACGATGGCAATAACAGAAGAACTGCCCGTAGCTTTAGAATCCAAATACCAACATATAGAGATCATACCCCATCTATAAACTTAAGCAATTTTAAAAAATTGATCTCCAAATTGCCTCTGAGAGCAAGATAAATCAACAGACTTTGACACTTGAAGATGCTCTGAAAGAATATAGAAGGTGATTCATCTCTTAACACTTCAGTTACGTATAAATTCACAAACCTTAATTTATTGTTTTGAAATGATTAACTCATCATATTAGGCAAGGAAAGGAACCAGGAAGCCCTTGCTACATGGTGAGAGCAGACTAATTACCACATAAAAAGTGCAACTAAATCAATGCTCACATGATCCATACAAGCATATCTAAACGACCCGAAAAGCACAAATGATAGATCCATCTAAACTAGGAAAGAAAATACTTCCCACCGTAAAAATGAATACCTGTGATATAATGTAATCTGCTTGTTGTTTTGCATAGTAATGTTCTGATGGATGTATCTTTCCAATAATAGGAAGTATCTCCTCATCCGACAAATAACTGCGGATATGCAAGGCGGAAACAAGTAAAATAAACATGAAAAGGGAAACCCTCAGAATAGTTACACATAAATAAAATCAGCTTAAAAGTACCCGTCACCATCTTTGTCAAGCTGAGCGAACAAATTTCTAGCTGGGGACTCCATCGAATCATCAGACTGATGTGTGGAATTGTGATCTTCTTCATCATAGTTCCTCACCAAATCAAAGAGGCCATGGAAGAATTCTTTGAAGTTAATTTTTTCATCTTTGTCGGTGTCCCTTTCCCTAAGGAGGCAAAGGAGCATTCAGACAATTAGAAAAGCTAAGCAACCATGTTAGAATGACATTACACAATGACAAATAAGATGATGTGCAAGGGTTAATGAGAAAATACAAATACTACAAAAAGAGTTGGTAAAAAAGGAACCACCCATTTCAACTGGTTAGTCCCTGGTGGTGCCTATGTCAGTAGATGTTTCTTTTTCTCTTTTGTTCTAATATCAGTATGTTATCGGTCCATGGAGAAACCCAAAATTTTGAAAGTGGAAGTTGAAATTTTTTTGTCATGGTGCCTACATCTGACCTACAAACTGATATCCTACAAATAGATATTGCTCATATGGATACGGAAAACTAGAATGGAAATTAGTATCACCTTACTTCCTCCCTGCACAACCACGTAAGTAGCTTTGGGTTTTTGCTGTCAGCTGGGTGTAGAAAGCTAGAAAAGGATAAAGACGAAAAACACCGACATCAAGTTAAATAAGGTATGTGAAAGGATACTATGTAAAAGGAAGTTGAGAGACAGGTAGAAGCTCACTCGTTGAACTCGGTTAAATTAAGAAGACCATCTCCATTTGCATCTGATGCATTAAAATGCTCCTCTTTCCACCAACCCATATCATAGCCAAAAGAACTGTTATCTGGTAGATGGAACATGATAAACCAAATCAGTAGCAACAAGAAAGTGACAACATACAAATGATCTAGTTGAAGATGGCCTAAATAACAAATGACCACCCTGTTTCAACTTTCACCAGATACAACTTTCTTTCTTCTCACCCGTTGTCGCCGTTGCTAGGAGCAACAGTCCAACATATTGCAGAATGGCACACTCACTTTAGTTTAATTTAAGAGATTGTTCTGGCGGAAACCAAAATGTACGAATTCCACACAGCATAATCAATAGCCATAGATTGAATTTTCACTTTTCAGCAGTTACTAAAGCACGTAGATAGATCATACAGATACATTCATACAAGGAACAAGAATACATGAATTTGCAAAGAGGGAATGACGTAAGTAACCTGCATTCTGAGCCCAACTCGGGGGCTGATACTCAGCAAAGGAAACAAAGCCGTCAAGATTCTTGTCGTGAAGCTCCATATCCCTCTCAGTCCGATGCAAGACTTCCCTCTGGGCCTGGTTCAAGTTCCACTGAGTCAACTCGTGCTCGGTGACGAATCCATCAGCCGGGTCGACATCAACCTTAGGAAACAACAAGAGCAACCTGCTGGTGACGTTGAACCTCTCGTCGTCGTTCAAGTAATCCTCAGCGTCCATGAAGTCTTCCCACTCGGGCTGAGATTCGGCGGCGGGGGCGGAGTGGTGGGAGGCGTTGAAGGCATGATCGAAGTGCTGCTGCTCCCACTTTCGGTCCTCGCGGCGGCGCTCAATGTCGGCAACGAGAGGGTCGAAGGGGATGGGGTTATGGTGGTGGAGGGGAGGAGAGAAGGTGAAGTTGGAGCGGAGCTTGAGGCGGCGGTGGCGGTGGTTGCCGGGTTTCTTGGGGGAGTGGGAAATGAGCAAGAGGACAAGCACTGCAATTGCTGAGTATATGATTACTGAGACGGACGGCCTCACCATTGGAACTCTCAAATCTTCAACTCAACTCAACTCAACGCAAGATTTAGTCTTTTCTTTCTTCTGCTCTCTCTTCCTAGATTTGGAATTTGGAAATTGGAAATTGGAAATTTGGAAAATAGAAAAGAAAGAAAGGAAATTTAGAAGAGAGAGAGAGAGAGAGTGTGTGTGTGTTGGTTGACTGACTAGTGAATGGACTAGATTAGGAGAAGAATCTGGAGAGAATACAAGAGAAATGGAGAAAAGGAGGAAAAGACTGATTCACTTTAATTATTCAAATGATGAATGAAGTTGAAGTCCTGAATGAATGGGGGTTTCAGTTTCAGGTTTGATTTGAGACTTTGAGAGTATGAAAATATGAATTGAGGAAGGAAGTCCAGGAAGGCCAGGAAGGAAGTGTCGTTGGAGAGAGCCGGGAACTGGTGGATCTGCTCTGCCTCTGCTGCCACCCAACCCAGACTTCCCCCTTACAGTTGTAGAATTAAAATGTTCCAGTTTTAATGATAATTAGCTTGAGTTTAGTTTAAGTTATTGTTAACTAGTATTAAATATTATAAAAAGTATTTTTGAAATACCATCCTAAGAAAGCCCCTTTGTAAATTTTGCACAGGAAAGATACCGTAGACAGTTGGTCTAAGGTTGGCGTGAAGGTTGTGGTATTTTTTTTTTGAAAAAAACGATATTATTTATATTAAAGATGATATGATGAGTTTTGATTTTACGATAAACTAGTAATAATGTGAAAATCGCTAAACTGTAGTAATAAGTGGTAATATTTAACATCATAAAATAATCAAACATGTCAACAAACAATATCATAAACTCCTAGTTGAAAAAACTTTGAGTAAATGTGAGATTTTACTAAATCGGAAAAACCTACAGAACAAAGCCTGTAAGTTTTTTCTAGTGTTCCTGGTCGATGAAGCCCAAGCCCAAACCAGACAGACAATACATGAGCCCCGATCCAATTCCAAGTTCCAACCCAGAAGAATTCCGATTGGGATCTGGGATCTGGGATCTTTATTATTTTTTATTTTCTTAAAACAAACTTAACAATAATGAGAGTGGTCGGATCTAACGGAAACCACGAGGAGTCGAATCGACGCCGTTTGGTTGCAGCGAAAGAAGAGAAGGGAAGAGCGAAGAGCTAAGGGAAGGAGGGATGCTGAAATTCTTGAAGGGAGTGGTGGGCGGATCGGGGACTGGACCCAAAGATCTGCCCTACAACATCGGCGAACCTTACCTCTCTGCTTGGGGATCTTGGACTCACTTCCGAGGCACCTCCAAGGTCTGCTTCTCTCACTCCTCTCTCTCTCTCTCTCTCTCTCTCTCTCTCTCTCTCTCTATATATATGTATATATGTGCAAATTTCATGATTCCAACGGTGGATGTGGACGATCATGACTGGATCTGAGGGAGGGTGTTTGTTTATTTGGGACGAAGGAATTCGAATGAAATCGTTTGTTTTTTTTTTCTAATTGTTTGTTGTAAACTGTTCAGGACGATGGTACTCCGGTGTCCATATTCTCTATATCTGGAAGTAGTGCTCAGGATGGCCATTTGGCCGCTGCTCGCAATGGCGTCAAGCGTCTCCGCACTGTAAGTTTTGCTCTTCAAAATTTCGTATGCAAAATTGCAAACGCAGCAATTATTCATTTCGTTTTGCCGCTTTGCTTATTTACTTTCAGGTCAGACACCCAAACATCTTATCATTTCTTCATAGTACTGAGGCTGAAACTGTGGATGCTTCTTCTGCCGTCAAGCAGATTATCTATATCGTTACCGAGCCTGTTATGCCACTCTCTGAAAAGATTAAGGAGCTCAATTTACAAGGTATCCAAAGGTATTTCCATACATAAATCTATCTGCTCTTCTTCTCGTCTTCTTGTTCAATTTGTTTCACTACGAAAATCTTTTGATTTCTTTACATTATCGCACATACGAATCATATAAGTGGACACTAATTTGTCTCTATAATTCACTTCATTTTTTCTCCTTGATGTTAGGGATGAGTATTTCGCATGTGGACTGAACCAGATAGCTAAGGCTGTCAGTTTCTTGAATAATGATTGTAAACTTGTAAGTTTTCGTGATTGGTATTACTAATATTTTGCATGTGGACTGCACCATATAGCTAATTCTCATATATGATTTTCAGTTGTAGTAATACTGTTTGACTAGCTTTTGGATACTACAGGTTCATGCCAACGTTTGCTTGGCCAGTGTTGTTGTAACTCAAACTTTGGACTGGAAGTTACATGCTTTTGATGTGCTATCTGAGTTTGATGGCGGCAATGAGTCTTCTGCCGGACAAATGCTGGTAAGCATGTCTTCCGTTGTGATTCATCATTGTAAGCCTGATCCCTCTTATTTCAACTTATGTCCTTGTTACATAATATTGAATTATTTCTGTGTTTGTTTCTTTATATGTTGTTTCAAGGTTTCCTAGCTTTGCCTAAATGGGAGGGCTTACTTTTTAAAACTTAGTTTAATTATTTTTTCTTGTTTGAATGGCAATGGATGAAAATGGTGCTTGTTTCTACTAAGATAATTTCTTGTGGATATTTGTGTTAAAAAGTTCTTAGGAATAGTAAGAAGTTGCGATATGTTTCTCACTAGTTCTTATCTTTCTTCAGCAATTCGCCTGGCTTGTTGGACCACAATACAAACCCACGGAGTTGCTGAAGTCTGATTGGGCTGCAATCAGAAAGTCTCCACCATGGGCTATTGATTCTTGGGGCTTGGGTAAGTCTGCTGTTATCAGTTTCTCAGAACACGATTATTGGTTTGTTATTCCACTTCATCTATTGATGCTGAACTTTAATGATTCTTTCGTGGGGGTCTAGAAATGAATATTTGCCCCTGTTAGAAGCTTCATCCTTGTTTAGTATTATGGTACAGATTGAGTTGTTTTGGGTTGTTTAGTTGGAAAGGATCAGTAGGTTTTTTATTCCGGAAGGTGGAAGGAAGTGGATTGTCGTGGGGTAGTGTTAAATTTTGGCTTCTTCTATTTTCTTTGGTATTTTTTGAATTTTGATATATTTCATCTTGTTGTCTGAAGGCTGATATATGTTTAGTCAGTTAGAGTTTGAAGGCTTTTTGTTGTCTGATTTGCTGATGTTGTACTGCTAATTTGTCATGTATTGGCTTTGATTATATTTTCAGTGAATGCTGGTTAGTTTATATTAATATAGTTAACATATTTATAATGAAAATATGTTGAATCATGTGATGCTTTGTTGCTGAACTGCTAGTTAAATATGCTAATCTTAAGAATCTAAATTCTTTATTTAAAATTTAAACTGATAGGCTGTCTTATATACGAGCTCTTTTCCGGTCTGAAGTTAAGCAAAACAGAGGAACTGCGCAACACAGCTTCTATTCCAAAGGTTTGTAGTCTTCTACTGTCGGCATGAGTCAATGATGACCGTATTCATTTTAGGATCAACTAAATTTTACCCCCTAAGGTTTGGCGGTGTTTTTCAAAATGGGCAACGGGGTTTGAATTTTGGCAATTTACACCGTGAAGTTTTAAAATGACATCAATTTAAACCTTCCGTCAAGAGTTTTCCGTTAAATTGGTGATGGGGCAATTTTGGGACCCATTTTTATGCTGACATGGGGAAGAAATATAGTAAAAGATTATTTCAAAAGCACAAAAAAGGGTATGCAGTTCCCACATGATCAATTTAACACCATTTGTAAGAAAATTACTAAAACCGCAATGTTGTGACCCATTTTGAAAACAACTCCAAACCTTAGGGGGTAAAATGTAGTTGATCTTTTTAATTTCTCATGGCCTTAATCTTTTTGAAGATTCGTTTTCATTTGCATCTCTCTATTGTCTTGTTTCAGTCTCTGCTTCCAGATTATCAGCGGCTCTTGAGTTCCACGCCTTCTCGTAGGTTGAATACATCGAAGCTTATAGAAAATAGTGGTGATCTTTCTTTCTTAACTCGAATTAATTTCTTTAATGTTGTTGGGAGTTTATAGTCTTGAGTATGTCAGTCTGCTTCACAGTTTGAGGATTGATTAGCATTTGATACATATAGCTCCAATTGGTTTTGGGTTATCATCTATGGAATTCTAGTCGCCCTTTGTTCCCCAAGGAGGATTAAAGTTGTATGCATGTGGAGATTGTACTAAATATTTATGCAACTATGATCTTTGCTCCTTCTGTTGTTTATACCTTGGTGGTTTAACAATGTTATGTGTCATAGTATTTTTGTTTGCCTATATTTCAATAACTGTTGCAACAAATGGATTGGCAGAATATTTCCAAAATAAGCTAGTGGATACAATACACTTCATGGAAATCCTAAATCTGAAAGATAGTGTTGAGAAGGATACCTTCTTCCGCAAGCTTCCAAATTTAGTGGAGCAGCTACCTCGCCAAATTGTGCTGAAAAAGGTGTGCTTTCAGAATTATTATGTTATTTCTCTACTACGAAATATATAACAAACCTTTTTATTATCAAATTATAATCCACTATTTTGTAATTCATGTTATTGTTTTAATAAATTGTTATCGTTTCTTCTAAAAAAAAAAAAAAAATCAAATTATAATCCTACCATCTGGTTTCTACAGTTGCTTCCTTTATTGGCTTCTGCCCTTGAATTTGGTTCAGCTGCTGCTCCTGCTTTGACGGCTTTCTTGAAAATGGGTTCATGGCTTTCAACCGAAGAATTCAGTGTGAAGGTCATACTGTTTCAGTACTCTGCATTGACCTTATGTGTCATGAATGTTGTTTACTTAAATTACTCTTGAATGTGGAAGTTTTGTTTTTCCTTTGTTAGTTGATTTTATTTTTATGGTTGTAATCATCTGACTTGGGTATATGTCTTACCTATGCATTTAGGTGCTGCCAACAATTGTGAAACTGTTTGCTTCCAATGACCGAGCTATTCGAGTTGGACTTTTGCAACATATCGATCAGTTTGGAGAATCATTATCAGCACAAATTGTTGATGAGCAAGTATGCAGTCAATGATAGTTGGATTTTGTTTTGAAAACCTGGTAGATTTAGATTGATTCATTTCTAGTGTGTAGGTTCTAAATTTCCATGTGATGCTCAGGTTTACCCCCATGTTGCTACTGGGTTCACTGACACATCTGCTTTTCTCCGGGAACTGACTTTGAAGTCGATGCTTGTTCTAGCTCCTAAGGTTAGTGCCCCTAATTTTATGGTTGTATGATTCTCACTTTGTATAGTTTATATTCTCACAAGCCACTGTTAATGTGATTTGAATCTTGAAACACGACACTTATTAGAATTAGTGTTAGCCACTTGTTACTCTTGTTTACTATTTTATATATTTTGCTTTACTCCATACCATTTTGAAGATATATCTCAACCTTTATGTGGTGCCCGTGATGGCTAGTAAAATTCCTGTCTTGTTTTAGGTTTAGGGGTCATTGTATACCTTTGAAATTTGAATTATGTGATTAGTCTCATCTAACAGGTTTGTCTATCTACTTTGTAGCTTTCTCAACGCACCAT